TGGGTCTCTCCAGTGAACTCTCCTGTGAGGCTGGGAGTTTCTCCTGCCACCTCAGCCCCCATAGGTTTTTTCAATCAGACATTTTGAGGCTTTATTTCTTCACACTGGAACCCTGGGTTGTGCAATCTGTCTCATTCCCCAGTTGTTCCTCCCAGTTTATCTGCATGCAAATATGGGACGGCCCACTCTGCCAGCCACTGCCTTTTCTAACCCCGTCGTCCACCTGCCGCCTTGCCATGAGTCTTATCCGCCCCAGCTGCCATCTCTACAGCTCCTACTGGTCTGGATGAATGTTTCTTCTTTAACTCCCTGGTTGTCAGACTTCCATACAGTTTGATTTTCTGGCAGTTCTGGTTATTTTTTTGTTTTTAAATTTGTTGCTCTCCTTCTTTTGGTTGTGTGAGGAGGCAAAGTGTACCCACTTATTTCTCCATCTTGGCTGGAAGTCTGCACATTGACTTTTAAATAGAAAACATTTGATTTGTACTGAGGAAGAGTCCACCTGTCTGCCTATGCTGAATAATCTTGCTAGATAGTCATGCACACAAATATATTGAAACAGGACTGGCATATGTGTGGTTTCATTATCATTGAAAATAGCTTTTCTATTACCACAAGTAACAATTGCATGTGAAGGTGTTGTAGTTTACATAACAGTTCTGTATCATGAGATACACTAGGAAATAGTTATATTGCAGAAAATGGTGAACATTCACCTGAGGGAAGAGATGATTCATCCTGTCTTGGCAATGGTGAGGGTATACTTGTATGTTTTCAATCCAGTCTTTTCTAAAATCATCCAGTTGCAAAAGTTCTAGGGCTTAAGCCTCTGCTTTGAGATATTTATTGCTGAAGTTTTCTCAGAAAATCATCATCCTCCCACTACCACCATGACAAAAAGACTTAAAGGGAAAATGCTGCCCTTCATGTTTTCTCTTTGTAACCCAGGACCCAAGGAGAGAGGCCTGAAGGGCTCTGGAGGGAGTAGCATGGGATGTTATCAGTACCTGTCACAGACACGACACCAGCTAGAGACCACAGCAAGAGGATGGACAGTAAGAATGAATGACAGTTGCCCAAGGGGAGGGGAGCTGGGTAAAAAGGTAGAGAGAATGAGAAATACAAATGGGTAGTTGCAGAATAGTCACAGGGATGTAAGGTACAGCACAGGGCATATAATCAATAATATTGTAATGACTATGTATGATGCCAGGTGGGTATTGGAAATATGAGGGTGATCACTTCATAAATTACATAAATGTCTAACCACTATGCTGTACACCTGAAATTAATATAATGTGGAATGTCCACTGTAATTGAAAAATTAGAAAATGAAAAAGAATGTATGATGGGATGATAGCAGTGGAAAGTCGAAAGGCCAGATGAAACGACATTGTCCTCAGCAGATGACAGCAAATGACTTTGTGGGACCAGGACTGTCCTTCTCACCATCCCCAGGACTAATCACGGCCCAGTGCACAAAGAAAAAGGAGGGGTAGATACCTGGGGTTGACTGAGTTTAATCAGGAACAAAGGAGCTTTGAGCAGATCCTACCATCATTAACAATTGAGTAACTAGTGGTGATGCAAATCTGGAAGACTGGCTGGGCTGAGTTAATCATTAAGGAGACTGGGACAAATAGCCAGATACTTGGAATGGAAAAGAACATTTGACTTTTTCCTATACCAAAATGTTCCAGATAGTAAAAATGATAGTGTAAACAAAAGCTAAAAGGCAATATAAGGAAATATTTTCTGATTGAATGTGAGGGGCCTAAGATGTAAAATTTTAAAGAAAAACATAGATTTAATGATACAAAGATTTTAAAATTTTGCATGCAAAAATGTGTCATGACCGAATGCACGTAAATTGGGGAAAATGTTCTAGCAAGTAAGACAGAAGTTTACAACCTAACAATATAAAAAACTCTTACTAATACATGAGGGCAGGTTAATACCCAAAAGATACACAGGCAGAGAATGTGAACAGACATAGTGTAAATAGAAATGATCAGTGGTTGACATAGAAAAATGTTTAGTATCATTAGCGTTTAGGAAATATAAACTAAAACAAAATGCCTGTTGATTTAGGGAAGATTTAAAATGTGATAATCCTCATTTCAGGTAAAGAAATAGCAAGACACTCATTCAATTTGCTGTTTGGAGAGTAAATTGAGTCAAATCATTTGGTTAGTAATTTGGCAACCTGTAGCAAGAGTTTAGAAGAGATTAAAATTGGAAGCTAGCCCTGGCTGATGTGGCTCAGTTGGCTGGAGTGTGGCCGTATACACCAAAAGGTTCAGTATAGGAAGCAACAAATCAATGTTTTTTTCTCTCTCTCCCCCTTCCTCTTTCTCTAAAATAAATAGACATATTTAAAAATGTTTTTTAAAAATTGGAAACCTATGTTTTCCAGATAGGGGAATATTTCAGGATATCGTGTATATCTACATGCTAGGCTACTATACAGCATTAAGATGGAGGTATTGGAAAATATTTAATGACATGGGAGAACACAAAGTGATTAAAAGCAACATGCTGAATTATATATACAGCATGACTGCAACTGTGCAAATAATATGCATGGGAATGGTTTGAAAAAATGCATGACTCTATCTGTGCTTATTTTTGAGAGTTGTAATTATCAGTGATTTTATTTTCTTTCTACTTCTCTGTACTTTTATAGTGTAGAAAATTCTAAGTTAGAAAAATTTGAAAATAGTTTTTGTTAGAAATATATATATATATACATACATACATATATATATATATATATATATATATATATATATATATATATATTCAGCTTTACTGTAACTTAATGGCTCCTGCTCTAATGGTTCAAGATGGCTAATGCATTTGTCTTAAGATATTTGAATAATGATCCTGTTGATGTTTCATTTAATACTTTTTTATTCTTAGTATGTATGTGTCAGGTACCATGTTAAGCACTTAACTCATATGAACTCATTTAGAATTTACAATACTTAAATAAGGTAGGTCATGTTGTTACCCATATTTTATGGAGCAGAAAATTGAGGCACAGGCAGGTTGCTTAACTCCCTCAAGGTCACACAGCTAGTTAATAGCAGAGATGGGATTTGAATTCAGGTAGTGTTGCTCCAGTGGTCCCACTCTCTATGCTCTATGTGGTTATGTTTAAGAGAATAAACAATCTTGTCTTTCAGGCAAATAATAAAACCTTATGAGAACAAACTAGCATCAAACAAGAGTCATAAATGTAAAATGACATTCATGGGTCAAGAATATCATCAATGAAATAAAAGACTTAAATTAGATCATCTTTAATATGCCCCTGGATATACATTCTATGATTATATTTATTAGTAAGAAAAACTGACTTTTGTATACTCTCCTAGGTAGGAATGTCAATTATTTCCTTCCCCTATCACTTCCTTCCCAACCTCACACCTTTTTATTAGAGATTCACCCGTGTGATCCCTGACACTGACCCACTACCAGCCCAGTTGATGGATCAAAGAAAGCTATCTCACTGAAGCTGGACCAGTGAGTCCTGAGTTTGGAGTCAGTGTGCCAAGATTCTAGCCTGCCCTTGATGGTATGTACTGAGTTCAATGTGGGACCCTCCTGGCCATTTTCTACTGTGTGCTGGGGAAGGACAGAGGCAGCTCTGCAATGTGAGCAGAAAAGAGACTAACAGAGAAGAGAGAGGACCTGATCCTGCTGCTCCATCAAGACTGGCTGGGGGGTGGGACTGGACAGGTGGGGGTGTCGTTGTCTGAGTTCCAGATCTTGGTTCTAGGACTCCATGACCATGGGCAGTATTATCTGACCTTGGATCCTGCAACACCCTGTGTCCTTTCAGTACTCCCTTACTTGTGTTTGTTTGCTTTATCTAGTTTGAGTGGGATTATTACTTGCTACCAACCATGTAAGATGTGTGCAGCTGGTTTCCAGCACAGATAGTCTCACAGGCAGAGCTGTTGTGGGACTTGAATGAGATGATCCCATGAAAGAATCAGCACACTGTCTAGCACAGTGGTCTCCAATCTTTTTGGCACCAGGGACCAGTTTTGTGGAAAACAATTTTTCTATGGATTGGGGTGGGTGGGGGATGGCTTTATAGCCTGCCACCAGATACAGCTTAATTGTTACTTGCCACTCACTGATAGGGTTTTAACATGAGTCTTCAAACAATTGATTTATTATGGTCTCTGTGCAGTCAAACCTCTCTGCTAATGATGCTCTGTATTTGCAGCTGCTTCCCAGCACTAGTATCACCATCTCAGCTTCACCTCAGATTATCAGGCATTAGATTTTCATAAGGAGCATGCAACCTAGATCCCTCACATGCACAGTTCAAAGTAGGGTTTGCACTCCCATGAGAATCCAATGCCACTGCTGATCTGACAGGAGGCAGAGCTCAGGTAGTAATGTGAGCGATGGGGAGCACCTGTGAATACAGATGAAGCTTCACTTGCTCATCAGCCATTCACCTCCTGCTGTGCAGCCCGGTTCTTAACAGGTCACAAACTGGTTCTGGTCCATGGCCCAGGGGGACCAGATCAAAAGCTTGCTGCCTTTGTTGCACATATCCATATGCTTGGCTTTTGCAGGCAAATATTTCAGCTTTTACCGGACATCACCTTGGCCTAGGCGAGGGTATCTAGGCTGGCTTGCCACCAGAATGGATATTGCCTTTTCTCTGCCAGGTTGTGTCTACATGCCTGGGACCACTGGGCCAGTGCATAGGGTGAGCAGCTAACATGTCTGAGCAGATGTTGACAGGCAGTGGGTTTGAGGTGTGATCCCCAGGGCTGAACTCTAGAAGAGAGATGTGCTTTCCACATGTTTTAAAAGATAACCTTGAACAGTTGACATGGGGAAGATGCCCATTTGGTTGTAAGTGATTTTTACCATTGTAGGTAAAATCTCAAATCCTCTAACCCCAGTGAGCCCTCTGGGGTATAAGTTAGTTACCCTTTACTTCAATAAACAGCACCTAAATAGAAGCAGATCACAAAAACTTTTATTACGTGAAAGCTAGACGTCATGGTAATTACCAAGTTACAAGTGCATTTAAGTTCGTGTGTGTGGACACTGCAGAAGTCAGGCTGGCCTAATGACAGTCCTGTGCTCTGGCTCGGCACATGCCTGTGCAGCCCAAGCTAGAACTGTACACGCAGTGAGCACAGGTCAACGAGAATGTCAGACTAGACTACCAACACCAGGTTCATTGTTACATGAAGCATTACAGACATTAAACTCCAAAGACCAGAAGACTATTATTAATGTGATTCTTACTACAAACCTTTACTTCTACTTATATTCTCCCATAGGACCAATGTAGCAAATCCTTGACTTGGGGGGACAGCACCACTTCTATATTTTCACACTTAAATGGGCCACAGAAGCTGTAAACATGTAGTGGTCCTCCTGATGCCCACTACAGGTAGATGCCAGCTGTCCCCTCAGGAAAGTGCAATTTCGTTGAACTGGTGTGAACATTTTATGTTGTACATCTTCAATCTGACATTTCTATTTCAATTAGCACCAGTTTATTTGAAATATTTTTCCTGGTGTTAAGTATTTAGAAAACAATTTTTTTAAAGCACACACAAAGTCCTAAACAATGGAAAGCAAAGAAAAAAAATAAAAAATGTTGTTTTAGAGAACAGCATTTAGAAAAACAACATCATTTAAACATTCGACAAATCTATATACAACGTGCCAAAAGCTGGCCAGGAGCACGGCTGAGGAACAGTCACTGAACGGTGTCTGAACCTGGACCTCCACAGGCTGTATTTACAGTTGACTAGGTATTCAGAAACATAGTATCAGAACATATGAATTCGGCTAAAAGTAATATAAAAAGACATTCTGCATGACTTCTAAATGGTAGCAAACATACCCAGTATAACTAAACATGAGTGCCAGGTTTACAAGTATTCCCAGTATTTTACATACAAACAGTTGAGAAACATTGTCAGTGGACACAGAAGGAAAATAGACTGTAGAGAAATGGATTTCTCTATTTCCACATTGTCAGATGAAGGAAAGGATTTTTTTTTCCATGTCATGTAATGTAGTAAAGCATTGATTAAGGAGCAAAGATAAATTATTGGTGGAAAAGTTTTCATGAACATACAAAATCAACAAGAGGGCTGAATAAACATGTGTACATTCCATATAAACATCCCCCCCAAAATGAGTCATCATCTCCATGTAATTTTGAAAAAAGATCAGTAATTCGCTTTGCTAGAAAATACTTTATTTTTTCATTTTTAATTGAATTTATTGGGGTGATATTGGTTAATATAATTATAGGTTTCAGGTGTACCATTCTATAATACACCACCTGTGTATTGTATTGTGTTTACCACCTCAAATGACAATATTTTATTTTATATTTTGTTCTTTGGAACTATATAACCCAAATCTTTGAGGAATATTTTTTTGATAGAGGATTAAACACACCAGATACAACCCACACTCTATTTATCCAATGTGATCCTCGTTAACTCTATGCAATTTTGTTTGATTGTTAATCCAATGTTACTAGAACACTCTAAGAACTGGGCACATCTTGTGACAGCCAACATGTCCTTTTTCTGTTTAAGAGGTAAAATGTTTACATTTTCTATTAATGTCCAAAGACATTTCCTATTAATTCACCTTAATGGCTGAATTTGTTTAGAGCCTGAAATTTCAATGCACTGTCTTTAAAAATATCAGCTAGAAGAATATAGATGGGAGTCCCACCTCCCCATAATAACATGTGTTCAAGTTTATCTTGAATAATTTGTGGTTGTGATAAGTCTCTATGAAAAGAATTTACTTGGGTTCAACACAAAATAAACATTACTCTTTGAAAATGCATAGTTTGTAACATTATACATTCATTTACTGACATTAACAACCTTTGTAAGCACTCACTCATCTCCAAATGGTGGCTAAAACTATTTCAAAGGATGTCTAAAAATTGGATAGCATGGCCACATTGGTTTTGAATTAGTAGTGCCCAATTATAAGTTAAGGCCTGTCATTTGAAGGCTAGAATCATATAGGAAGAACCCTTCTTTCTCTTCAGTCTGACTTTCTCCTTCGCTTGTTTCACAGGCACCACAAAGCAATGTTTCCTACTGACCGCATTTCCACTAACAACCCCATAAAGATGTTTTAGATTTTCATTTCAATAGTTTAGATTTGGTATAGAAAACAATTTGAAAGATGGCTTGATTTTTAAAAGTGGACTTTTTTAAACTTTATCATGAACTAAGGGCAACAGAGGTTCTGTGATAACTGCTGTTTCTCTTACTCTCTAGCCCCTCATTTGAAGAGGACCATAGGCCACTTACTTGGCCTTTGCATTTGATGATAGTCATGAACCATTTGGGACCTAGCAATTTCTTCTTATCCTGAGTTCTTCTAAGTATATAGGTTTTGATACACAAAATGCTTTGGAAACTATACTAGTGTCTGGTTATTCCAGAGAGCACATGTTCAAATGGCTGACCGTTGTCTGACCATTAACTACAAAAATAGGGATTTTAGGGTGTATTGTAGGAAAATATTGATACATCATGTTTTTTACATATGTCATCCACATTCCTATGTTATTTTACACCCAGGGCATTTTCAGTTATTGAAGTCACAAGTATATTTGGGGGTATTGAGGTCTTCCCTAAAAATCTCTTTTCTAAAGCTTCCTACCAGTGGTCACGAAGGTTCCCCAAACAGTTGGGAGACTTCAGAAGAGAGAATTTTTCTATCATCACAGGGCTTGGTCAAATCACAGTCATTGATTTCCAATTAGCAGAGTCTATCAAAAAAAGATTTAAAGAGCAAAGCAAGGGTTTATAATCTGCAGGAGATGCATCCTTATTTTGGGGTGCAGTGGGGGTAGTTTATGATGAAGCTACACCATTGATCCTGGAGGGTCATTCCAACTCTGGCAGCAGGCACTGGTCCTAAAGTTCTTCCTCTTTCCTCTCGGTCTCTCCATCCCTGCTGAAAGCATGGGAGGGAGGCTGCCCACAGGTGAGGGACTAGGGCTTCACTGTGTGAGCGGATTGGAGTTGCTACTTTCTAGATCCATGAATATAACATTAAAACAAAGACACCCTGCAGAAGCCACTTCTTTTCACATTTTTAAAAATGCTTTCATTTTCATGTTGTGTAATGTGGGCAAAGTGAGCCCTGGGGAAATTAAGGTGAAGCTTACTCCCTTTGCCTTCCTCCATTCCTGGTCCACATGCAAGGGGCTGGTGGTATGGGACTTGCATGGAGCTTTGAGTCAGAGTGAGAGGACTAGATATCTGCCTGTCCTTTATCAGTGACTTGGCCAGTCTTTTGTGATGAGTGTGGTGGGCTGCGTGCTGACCAACCCTGCTCTCTGAGTGTACTCCTAAAACTGCTCAGACAGATGGGAATTCTTCCCAAGGGGGTGGCCTCACAGACTGAGACTAGCGCACCAGTCATGATGACTTTTATCCCCTTGGATCTTATTTAAGAATGAAAAACCAGCAGCCCCAGAAGCAAAATGTATAATTTGAGACCTTGGGAGAGGAACATACATATTAACAGTGTAGTAACATAGGAACATGAATGCAAGGTGGCTACCAGGATGGGGACTGTTCTCTGTTCTCAAAGCTCAACTTCTCCTGAGTGTTGGTTTTCCTCTTCAGTTAGAAGAAAATAGATGAGCAACTCTTTTTTTAAAGAAAACATCACTCTTTATGACAGCTTACTTTGCTTTCACCAGGAGTTGCTACTTTGTATTCTCGCTAATTTTCTGAGTTAAAAATGTAGAGAATTGCCCTCTAAGTGAGTGTAATACATGGGCCCCCAATATCAAAAGTTTGCCTTTGGCCACTTGGTTTTTATGAAACCCTTACATTGACACCTGCCTTTGCTAACAGAATGAAATCCGAAGAGGATTTTTACTTTTAAGAAAAAAGCCATCACCTTACTCTAACATAGGTCTTCGTGTTACTGATTCAGTTTACAAAAAGTTTCATAAGCTCACTCTACCTTTGGATAGGTAGGGGGGGACCTGTATTTAAGTAGACTTGAGAATTAATTTTTAACAGTTTCATAATACAAATGAAGACAATCTTTTCTTTGGAAGGTGGCAGTTAAATACATGGATGGCACCCAATAAAAAAGAATATTTTTTAAAAAACAAGACTACAACTTAAGCACTGACCTCAAGATTTCCAACTTCTTTCAGATCTATCATTACCCCCTCTCTGCGGGGGTAGCTTTCTTCTTGTTCCCTGCAGTTTAGTCCTTCTAAGTCCTGCCACAGTCACAGCATTGGTGCCAACCACTGCACAACAGGCTTCTTTTCCAGCAGAGGAAGAAAGGGCTCCCCTCTGTCCTCCTCCAGTTCTGTATTATTGCTTTAGAAACATTTATTAAAAAGCCTGTTAATGATGTAGGTGATGGGCCGGAGTGGTTTAGGTCCCTTCCAGCTCCCTGTGAGTGGCTTTATCCTGTACTCAAGAAGTGAAACCTGGTAAACTAATGCAGAAGGGTGGCAGGAAATCCATTCAAGTATCAGACCACATTGGCACCCCTCACAGTGACAGAAATCTCAGGCATCACCAGAGCTATTTAAATTGCATTCATATTTAAACATGACTTAACCAGATTCCCAGGTGTTTCCAACTTGGGGTTAACATGATTTTTTGATGTGATCCTTACACACTGTAAATATGAGCTGTTTTAAAATTTTCTGGCATCAATTTAAGTTTACATGGATAGCAAATGTTGAATGTTAGCAGCAAAATAACTTTTCCCAAGGAGTCTAAACTGTTATTCATGTTAGCTACTCAACTCCTATAATGACCACCTGTATGGTTGGAACTTAGGAGATGCAGGATGGTGCTGCCCTAGTCCTAGTTTGCATTTGGAAATCGTTCCTTTGTATTTAGCAATGTGAGCGAATGGGCTTTTCTATGCTGAGAAACTGGATTAGAAGAATGGGTTGAGAACATAGTGGGTCACTGGGTTTTCTCAGGTCTGGATTTGTGCTGGAAGATTAAGGTCTGAGCTTTATTGAGCCCTTGCCCTTGAATTTGTAGGCATGCATGAGGCTGACTCCCAGGCTCAAGATCACTCCAGATTAGCCTTGGAGGTAGGTGATAGTGATCCTAAATATCCCTGTTCTCCACTTGGTTCTTAGGAAGTACAAATAACACAATGTATCTGAAAGAGACATACTTTATTATAAATGTGATTGTTCCAACACCATAAGGATTCTGGTGTGAGATACAGCCTAAAATCACTTAGTCCATCCATCCAAATGAAGGAAGTGACATCTAATTTTTTCCATGACATATTTATTCCTATTTTGTCTTCATCCTCAGATAAAGATGCTAAGGTTTTCTGTGTGGAAAAATTCCATTCTGAGGTCAGTGGACACTCTAAAATACCCAAATACCTACCAGTTTTTCAGCAAGGATTTTGCCATATTAGAGGTGAAACCACAGAAATATTACCCAGGGACAAAAAGTCACAAGGCAGGAAGGAGGGGAAAGGAGTGTAGAGGGGTTGGCAAAGGGCTTCAGCATAAGGGAGCTATGTGTGCTGTCTTAAACTTTGGGGGTTCCCCGCTGCCTTCTTTTAAGGCTCAAGGCTGCTCCTTTCCAGCCCCTCATCACAGTGGTCATGGCAGTGAAAACACTAAGAAAGTTAGGATTACAGTTATTCAGTACTCTGGGGCATGGCCTGGGCCTCAAGAAAGCAGAGTGAGAGCTGGGTAAGACTTCAGTAGGTTTTGATCTGAGGCAAGGCTAGTTTGAGGACATTATACTTCTATAATCAAGTCTTCCATGAGAATGACTTCTGGGGAGAACTGACCTCTTTCCCTCCCTTGATTTTAGTTGTCCAGATAGTGCCAAGGTGAGTGTGGGGGGTGTGGGGGTTGGCTGATGGAGGAACTTGACTGATGGTTATGGAATGTGAACTCTGTGTCTCCCAATAGCTGGATCTGGTGGCCAAAGGCTGCACCTGCCCACATATAGGTTCCTTTGGTCTGCACAGTGCTGGTCAAGAATGTGAGTTAGTTGTCAACACTAAACGTCAGGTAAGATCATATTTTCAAGTCAGAAGATCTAGCTTCCCTGGGCCTGATTTCTGCATGGTTCTGATTGTCTACGGCTGGGTCACCCCTTCAAAGGGGACATGTTTTTTTCTTGTTCATCATGATTGCCACCATTCTCTAGTGTCCATATTTTGCCTGATCTAAATCATTCATTCACAACCCATCTGGGCCTTCTAAAGTATCTGCTCTATACCATTAGGAAGCTTCTACTTAAAAATGAAGCAATGCCATAGCTGGTGTGGCTCAGTGGATTGAGTGCCAGCCTGCAAACCAAAGGGTTGCCGGTTTAATTTCCAGTTAGGGCACATGCCTGGGTTGTGGGCCAGGTTAGGTCCCCAGTGGGGGTGCATGAGAGACAACCGCATATTGATGTTTCTCTGCCTCTCTTTCTCCCCCCTTCCCTGTCTGTCTAAAATAAATAAATAAATAAAATCTTAAAAAAAAAAAGAAGCAAGATTCACTTGGTTCAAAACCATTCAGCAGTGAATACTTCCTGGGAACTTTAATGCTAACAACAGAGACATTCCAGGGGAAAGGACATAGAGATTTTCAGACTTCCTCATCTCAAGGACCAGGAGATGAGGCCAAATAGTCATTCCTTAACTCCATGCATTTCTAGTTCTCATGTGTACAGATTCAAAAGCCCTTTTGAAAGCAAGGTCTGAGTGACCTTCTGATGACCTCATAGGAGTTGTGCAATGGGTATATGACCATTGTATCCTAGCTTTTCTTTTGATGTTATCTGCATACTTGGCTAAAGGGTCCAGCTTTTGAATGAGTAAAATCTTAGAAAGACAAGATGCTTTCTTGCTTTAACAGTGAGTGGGATAAAAAAAAAAAAGAACTACAGCACTGTGAATGGTCTGGCAAAGCTCAGAATTACTTACACAGTTAGTAAAGGCTCCATGTGTGCCTTCCTCATTTCCCAGCTCTTGAGAATACTGTGACTTTCTGATGCCAACCTGACATGTCTGTGAGTTCTTCTGGTTAAAAAAAATCAATCACTTGTTCTGATAAGGAAATGCAAGTTTAGCTGAAGAGAAAATTATTTTAAATACCACTAACCATCTAAGAATTCTACCTTTGGGCTTACATTGCATGATTTTAGAAATTTCTACCAAATGATACTTGCTAGTTTAACACAGGTTTGTGGTTCTGGTAGGTCATTTGGTAGCTTGTGTGTGTGGAAAATCTATCATTTTACACTAAAAAATGTATAACAATATTTCTCTCATTACTTATAAGCATGTCTATTGACTTCTTCTAGATTTAAGATACACAGGATGATTCTTAAAGTGTCTTTCCCCCCACAATACATTGAAAACACACTGTTAATGATAAAAGGAGTAGCTGTTGCCATCTTGATTTTCTTGAATTAATCTTTCCATCTGGTCTATATTTTGACCCCTCACTGCAGAGGGTTAACTGAAAAGATATGCACCAAAACACTTGCTTAAAAGAGGCATAGCCCTTTGTTTGGAGAGTAAGAAATGCTTATAATATTAATGCTTCCTGTCCAGTAAGACTATCTTTTAAAAAATAAGCTACAGTGTATAAAACCAAGGTCATTTCTCTGAAAATGTTCATGTTTTTTGTGATTACAAAACACTGCATCCTGTAAAATATCTCTAGTTCTGTTAACTTGAGAAGTTAAGTACTAATGCTTATTATAAAAGTGGTATGTCTCTCAGAATTATAGAAACTTAAGCAGTGTATTTCTTGTCTTATTTGGAAAATTAAGTTATAATTGTTATTGTATTTCAGATTACATTCCAATATAACACATTACCATTGTGATTCTCAGACCCTCAGGAGAAGTTATAAAATATGAGATTGTCATAAAAAAGGATCTATTTACAAATCAAGACCACAAGTAAAAGTCCCACTTTGATTGCTGGTCCTATGATAGATACACTTTTTAAAGCATCTAGCCCAGTGATTTTCAAAGAGTGTGTCACAAGAATTTTTAAAACATGCAATACCACTATTTAGTTAGGGGCACTCACCTCTTCCTCATAGATTGTCAAATAAACAAAAAACTGACAACAGCCAACATGACAGGTGTCTGGTGTGGATGAATCAAAATTATACTTTTTTTCAGATTGGCAAAACATAGAACATATTTTTGGTATGCCGGAGAATTTTAGTAATTAGTTTACATGTTCCATGAGATTAAAAAGGTTGAAAATCACTGATCTAGACCAGCAGTCCCCAAACTTCTTGGCACCAGGGACTAGGTTTTCCATAGATAGGGCTGTGGGGGAGGGTGAAGAGGAGAAAGAGTGGGAGACAGGAGGGGGAGCTCAGGTGAGCTTAGCTCATGGCCCTGTTTCTAATAGGCCACAGATGGGTACCAGTCCACAGACCAGGATTGGGGACACATAATCTAGACCATTGGATATGGGCTCAAAGTCAGTCGCAATGACATATATTTTATACTTTCTTGCTGGATTGGTGATACAATTGGTACCCCAAAGTGCTGATTTCATTTTATGTTCTGACTTGTGGTTCATCTAGTTACAATAGAAAAAGACAAAAGAAAACAGTTTCCATAGGGAGGAATCCTCAGAGAGGATCCCCACAGGTATAAGGAGCAGGAAGAGTGTGTGTGTCCATGGCCAGGAGGGTTATTTTCTTAGAAGAAATGAAATTTGCAGTTGCCCCTCATGCCCAGCACATTCTTCAAAATGATCCACACCTCAATACCCGCGAATCCTGCCGTGTTTCCACTCACTTGTGTGCACAGATTCTTCCTGGTGCTCACCAGGTCACTGCTACAGTTGAAGTAGTCAAGAGAAATTCTATAGGGTCATGAGAAAAAGCAGCACCTTGTCCAGAAAAGTCCATGGAAGTTTGCTCCTTAACCTGCTATCACAGCTTTAGTGTTTTTACCCTGGGAGCTTTTGCTCATAGCTAAGAACTCTGGTGAACTAAGAACCTACTGGTGATGAGAGGAAGGAATGCCAAGGCTACATATTCACAACTACATTCCAAGAAAGCCTTCCACGAGTCTCTGGACACCCACCTGGGATGGTGCTTATGGTCCACACACCAGCCTTTGACCACAGCTCAGCCACAGAGAAACAGCTCTTCTCATAAAGCATCCCCTAGCCCCAGAAAAGTTGGTCCCGTCCAGTTCATGTAACTTTGTCTTGAAATAACATCATGTTCATGAAAAAAAATTTTTTTTTCTGACTAGATGACTCTGGAGATAATATCTTTCTAATATTAAGCTCCTCCAGCTCTATTTTTCACATACTCTTTAATTTTCCCTGAGGAAATGAATATTATTTATAGTATTTTGCTACTATTCTCAAGGCATTCTGTTCTAAATGTACAAGTCTTTCCACTTTTCTCTAAACATTCTCAAGTGAAAGCTGTGCTTTCATTTCCAATGAAGTCTGCTGAAAAAGGCAGTGGGCTGTTCCCACAGGTGTGGACACCTGATTTCTGTCCACTGCAGATGGCCGCTCCCCCAGCGGGGCCCAAGGACAGCCACCAGTGGCTCATCAGCACTAAGGGGTGGGAGCCAGGTGCCCATGGGCCTCTTGTGTTTCTTCTTGGTTCTCCAACACTCTTGTTACTTTCTCCAAGTTGTCACGCTGCATCCTACAACTTGGGTGCATGTTCCCTGGGAAGGACAAGGCAGGGGTGTCCAACCTTTTGGTATCTCTGGGCCACACTGGAAGAAGAAGAGTTGTCTTGGTCCACACATTAAATACATTGTGACACATAATCACAAAAAAATCTTATAATGTTTTAAACAAATTTACGATTTTGTGTTGGGTTGCATTCATAGCCATCCTGGGCTACATGCAGCCCATGGGCCATGGGTTGGGCACCCCTGGACTAAGGGTTCAACCTACTGTTGATGACTCTCTCTCTAACTGTGCAGTTATCTGGAGAATACCTGTCCATCACTATGAAATGCCTTCTTTGGAGAGAGATGAAAAATAAATGTTTTCTGAAGGAAGGAGTATCAAGGGAGAGAAAAGTCAATGCCATGACAAGCCTTATTTAGAAATACTTTGGGACCAGAGTCCACTGCATTACATTCCTGTTGCAGACAGGTCTCTGAGGTCCCTGTGATGGATGGGGCTCCAGTTCAGCAGCCAGTGTGCTGTGGGACACCCCTTCCCATCCACCACCTTCATCCCTCAACCAAGTGAGAGAACATAAAAGAGCATGGTACCCCAGAGATGGCATAAATAACTGTTGGGCTTAATTTGGCACTTTGTTTAGTTCCAAAGGATAACAAAATAGCTTTACATTAAAAAAATTAGCTTTTATAATCAGTGTGTACATTGCAATTCATAGCTTGCTGGGTGGCCTTCAAGAAAATGAATTCCTTTTTTTTCAAGGCCAGCCAGGAGAAGCTCAGTGGCCCCTTAGTTACTACATGCCTTTGTACAGGGTAGAGGTGTCTGTATGGCCAGGGAGGAGCCCCCATGTGGTGGGAGACTTGGGAAAGTATATGTAAAGAAGGTGTTGGAAAGGCAAAGAACTCCCAGGGAAGGGCATGCAGCTCTACCTTCTGCTCATACCTGTGCATTTGGCTAAAATCCAGGCAGAGCTCAGAACTACTCATGCCCCATGTCTCTGTAGGACACCCACAGAGCCTGGTCCAAAGGTTGCTCCACAGCAAAAGTCTCTCCCTCCTTGTGTCCAAAAGTTCTCTCTGTGTTGCAGGGATAAATTCAGCACCTCATCATGTTAATCATTTTTTATTAGTGACATAATCCAAGGATCAAGAGCCAGGGAACTTTGCTGAAGACAAAAACCTCGGCTCCAGGGTTGTACCCCAACCACCATTTAAATATATGGTGAACCTGCTCAAATGGGTGATCAGCCCTGAATTCATGGGTCACTCCACCTACAGCTCAGGGCCCTGGCACCAGGCCAGAGCCTCGTCTCACAGTGGGCGGTGCCTGTAGGTGAAGCATCAGGTCACCTGGGAGGAGAAAAGACATGCTAGGGTAGAGGATGCAAAAACATTTCCTTACTTTAAAAAAAAATGTCTTTTCTTGGCTAACCTCATAAATACTAAATACATTACAGATGATGCCATGGTGAGTGCTGATAGAACATCATGATGTGAAATTAAATAAAGGTTTTTTTCTGTTCTCTCGGAATAAGTGTTTTCACAGAAAAAAAATAAATGGAGGAGGAAAATAGGATCTCTTCTAGAGGATAATGTTTAAAAAAGTCATACAAGAATTAAAAAAAATCAAGTTGCCAAAATATAACCATATAGATTGCGGATATTACATTACAGAATTTTATATATATATATATATGTTCCTGTTATCACTAGATGACTTCTTTCTACTCTTTAAACAAAGGTGTATGTACAGTCTCTAGATGTATATTAAAATTTCCTCTGTGCAACCTTCTTTAACATTCCTATGGCTGATTCTAGGCTCCTGTCCTGCACAGTGCATCCTATAAGGTGCTTGTACCTCTTTGCATAGGTATAGGAGAAATAGCTCATAGGTATAGGAGAAATAGCTCTGTAGCAGGGCAATCAAGAGGAGGGTAGGAAGTTATAGGGCTTGACAACTACCCCCTCTCCCCACACCACTACCACAAGAACCAACCAACCAACCAGGTAAGAAAGCCTAATAATAAGCAGAACACAGCACAAGCCCTGTCCTACTAAATCAAGAGCATCCTATACCGACATGCATTTTCCTTTTGGCATTCTCAATATTCCCTTCTGAGCCAAATTCTTAATGAATAGCTCCACTATTTTCACAAGAAAAATAAAGGTTTGGATCCTCCATTTACCCATAAAATATTTAGATTATTCATAAACCCATCTTCCAGACACACTAAAGCATGAAACCTGCCCCAGTGCACGCAGACTGGAGGTTTGGTCTGTTTGACCTCACGTGGCTTTCTGAACAGGTGGAGATGTGGAGGCTGTGCTCTGCTGTTTAAAAGCAAATCTGCAGGGACAGTTTGAGTTCTTGACATTTCTCAGACCAGACAGTGAGAAGTTTTGAGGGAAAGCTTGATGACCCATAGACTCGGCAATGACTTTGTCAGACGTGCAGTGACACACATTTTAGCTGTGGTTCCCATCGCATCCCTGAAAGAAGTGTCAGGCTTACCCAGAGGGCTCCATGTGCCAGTTCTGGATTGAGTTGAGCAGGCAGAGGAGGAGCTGCTTGGGGAAGGGCTTCTTACAGATCTTGGGAAGACTTCTAGGTGTTTCCCATCAGTGACAGCTGGATGTCCTGAGCTCAGCTTGGAGCTGAAGTCTGCTGGTGAAGTCTGCTGGTGAAACTATTTTTGAGTTTCCACCATCAGGGGCCCTGCAAGCCCACAGCTCTACCATTTCAGGGCCATTCTTCAAAACAAAACAAAGAGAAAGACATGGAAAAGATACCCAGAGTGCTGCCCCAAGAAGTCAAATGGAAACTGGGAAAAGACTATTCACACAAAAGTGTGTATTGTTCTTTGTACAAAAGCTACAGAATCACATATAGCTTTTTTGTGTGTATCAATACCTGCCGCCACCCCCCCCACCCCCAACTGAAATGATATTTTTCAGAAAGCTTGTCAAAATATGCCTACTTTCTAGGTAAAATGGGCATTGTTGATTCCATTGCTATGGAAGTCCATAGTTTTCAAACCTAGACACATAGTAAAGCAAATTGACTTTCCTTTTCACACACACAAAAAATTAGTACTAGCTGCTCTAGGTGGGTTCCGAACAGACCAGTGCCTGTGTGACTTATTTTTTGCTGTAATTCCACCAAGGTTCCTGGAAGTGTTTTCCTGGGCTCCAGATGTGTTTTGTTCAGAAGGAAGAGTGCTTTCCCAAAAGCTGCAGTGGGAGGTAAAGGTGGGGTGACCTGCTCGGTGGCTGTGACCCGGTGGCCATGACTAGATTACTGCTGTCCCTTAGGTTCCTCAGTCCAGGAAGCGCTGGCAGGCCTTCTTCCAGCGGCAGGCCGTGCACCACAGGTCTCGGTTCTCCATGCCATATACCTTCCGGCATTTCTTGCCTTCTCCACGAGGCTTCCTGAGGGTGTGTGAGGGCAGCATGGTCAGTGGGAGGAACTCAATGGACATTCCACTGAGGGCTCAAAATCCCTCAAAAGATGGAGAAAAAAAGCTAGGAAATTCAGCAGAGCTTTCTCCAGGTCAGGCTTTCACATATGTTGGGTGATTTCCCCACCACTGCTCAGGGCTGCTACAATTGGCTTCTCTAACTCTTAAGCTTCTACTTGTCCACTTGCGGACATGATATTGGCCATCTGCACAACACTGAGTTAAACACATACAATGAGAAAGACCAGCAGAGAGCATTACTGTTTCAAATTTTTAAAGATGTACTTTTAAGTGCTCTCTCTTTTTTCAAGTGTGTAGCATCATGGTTAAGGGAATCCCAAGAGGTGCTTCTTGATCTGGAGTAAAAACTCTATCTTATAGTTAATTTAATACAGCGGTTAATGCAACATGGCTTTAAGTAGACCCAATAATCACCATTGCTTATTCTCTAGCAAAACTTACTGCAAACTGTTCCAACAAAAAAACAACAAATTTTCCCTCATAGTTAACGGATGGGGAAAACCATGGAACAAAAGAAAGTGTGTCTCATCCATTATAGGGACATTTTATGGAAGGTCTTATCTCTCATTTCTCTTTCTTTGTTTCAGTTCTATGTTTTAGTTGATTCCCTTGAGATGAGGAGTTTCCTACCTTAGGCTGACCATCCCCCTGGGCGGGGAGGACAAGACTGTGTGACTGTGCTGTCTCTGCTCTCCTGTGCCCATAGGATGGTGATGTGTTGGTGACACCTGGTGAGGACATGGAAAACAAAGTTGATGGGGCATGTTCTCTGTGCCATACCTTTATTTAGCTTTGTGATGTGGGCAGTGGTCCTTCACCATTAGAAATGGAGGTGAAGCGTTTCCTTCACAGAGACCACGTGTTAAAATGGATGGGGGTGATGCTCACAGCAGAATTTAAATGCACCTCCAACAGAAAAGACCCAATGGCAATTAACACCTTAAAAATCTTCATGACTTCACATGTGTGCATTCTAATTTGCCCATAGTAACATATTTTCATTTGAATAACATTTTAAACTATAAAGGATATTCCTATTCCAAGTATCATGATTTCTTTTTTAAAGAAGAAAAAGCTAGAGAGGTTAAGAGATCTTTCTAAAATTATACAGTGAGTCAGTGGCCATGCTGAGTGGCCTTTGGCCTTCTGTTCACTTTGTCATTCACAGTCACTAAATAAATGGCTTCTAACACAAGATACCCACCCAGCAACAAACCCCTTCTGGAGTCCAAAAGAAATAAAGGGAAGAAACCAAGAGCTCAAGCAAATTAAGAACAAATGTCACCCATATAATACTTACTGTCACTGTGTGCTGAGTCTACTGACAAGAGCTTTAATTTCCACAACTACCCTAAGTGATAAGTACTACTATTGTTCCCATTTTATAGATAAGGAAACCAAGGTACAAGGAGGTTATAAAACTTGCCCAACATCATGGACCCTGCAATGGCAGGATAGGGCTGTCCTGAGCTCTATCCCCTAATGCCTCTGCCTCCAGTCATAATAGTAGCAGGGCCCTTCCTGTTCTCCATTCCCTGGATGATCACTGAGTCTCTCTGCACACTGCTCTCATAACACTAAATATCTTCCCAGATTCCAGAATTCTCAAAAACTGCCAAAACTAACTTTTATAACAAAAGATAAATGTTTCAAGTAAATATACAACCTTAGTGTTACAGAAGAGCAGACACTTGATACATTTTAAAACACAATCATCTGGAAGCCAATAGGGACCTAGAAATACCATTACCTATTAACAGTCACAGGGACATTCCCAAGGCAAACTTATACAACTGATTTTCTCTAGTTCAGGGGCTAGTACATTTATTTTCTTTCAATGGGAAGTAGTGTATGTACATCTATGTTATTTCCCCAGATATTAATTTTAAAAAGATGAAACAAGTAACAAAAAACCCTAACATTTTAAACCACTGTTGCTATGACTCTGAATTATTCCATACCATTGGTCTTTACTTTTGCTAAAGTTGGGTGGCATGGATGCATTTGATGTATGTAGATACATAGGCTTTTCCAGGAGCAGAATCCCAACCCATTCCCCATCCCCATCAGGATGCATAACAGCAAACCAGAGGGAGTAAATTTTACAGGTGTGCCTAGCTGTGACCTAGAATGGTCTAGAATATACTCATCTGAATTGTTTTCAGTGATAAGGACAATGGAAAATTTAAAAAATAACTAGAACTTTTAGAATCCCAAGAACACTTCCCTATTTAGTCATAGAATTGAAAAAGTTGAGGGGACATGGCACTATTTCCATCAGCCCAGGATACTGTGAAAAGTTCTAAGTTTTGCAAAGCTGCCCCCCACCCCTTTTACGTGGGGTAATATGAGATTACAGGATGTTCTTCATTTAGTGAATATTTATTGAGCACTGACTGCACACCAGACACTGTCCTAGGCTGTGGGGATACAGCCCAGAACAAAACAAAGTCTCTGCCCTCATAGAGCATACATTCTAGTGGGCAGAGAGTCAATGAACACCAAACACAATAAAATAAGGTAAGAGGCAGCTTTGTCAAAGGACAGAACATTTATTTATTCAGATTGGTAAGAGAAGGCCTCTCAAGGAGACTACCCCTTACCTCTAGGGCACCCCAGGGAAAGGAGAGCAGTGACAAAGCACTGTGAGTGTAGAGTGTCAATGGGGTCAGAAGACACTGTGTGGGGGCAGAAGGTGGGAGAGCAGGAGGTGTTAGAGTCAGGTCATGCCCTGTGACTGTGATGAGGAATTTGAATATTATTCTAAGGCCAAGGGAGGCCACTAGAGAGTTTTAAGAAAGATGGCTGATTAGCTTTGAAAAGACTGCTTTTGGCTCCTGGGAGAATGACTTGGAGATAGCTGGAGAGAAACCCCAAGGCTGGTTCAGAGCTTATGTAGCGTTTTGGTGGGAAAACATACTGTTGATTTAGATGAGGGTATGGCTGTGATGTTAAGAAGGGGCTGGACCCATGTCTACTAGGGGCAGAGTCTGGAACTTGCTATAGATGAGATATGGGACCAAACAAACAAACAAACAAACCCACAAATCTTTAGATGAATCTGAGAGGAATCAAGAGGTAAGGATGAATCCTCATTTCTGGACTGAGCAGCTGGTGGGATGCTAGGACCACTTATTGAAATGGGGAAACAGGTAAAAACTACAGGTTTGGGGGAGGAAAGAGGACAGGGTATTTGAAAATACCAAGAACATAGTTTGAAGAACATGGACCTTCTGCTGGAATAACCCTTGTCTACAGTCTATTCTTGCTAATGGCTTTCTCAGCCCTGGAGATGAGGGCCTACATGTCTTGAGTCCAGTCCTGGTGTCTACAGGACACAGCAGAAGCCAGGACTCACCATACTTCACATGTGGCTCAGGTGTGGGGGAGGAGCCATACAGTCCAGCTATTGAGCAGTCCTTGAGACATAATGGCAAAATGATGGGGTTTTAGCTTCTTATTTTAGGTGGGACTGAGGGTGGGGAAGTCCAGGTGACCAGCACAGGGAACTAACATTTATTCAGCACTTGAAAATGTGAGAGGCTATGAGGTTATTTGTGATCTCTTTTAATCCTCACAAAACCATGCAAAATGCTGTAGAAGTGCTACAACCTGCAGAAGTGCTGTTCCTTGCCTTTTGCAGGTAGAATAATTCAGGATCTGAGCAGAAAAGAGGCCTGTGCTGTGTCCTGGAATTCAGAGCAGCAGAAATTTCCTGGGATCTTGTTCAATGAATTACCTTCCACATGTTATCTCATTTAATTTTCATCATGATCCTAGAATAGGTATAGCCATCATTTCATTTTATAGGTGAGGAAATGGAAAGGTTTAGTTGCCAAGGCCACAGTTAGTCACTATTGGACCTGGAATTTGAACATGGCTGTCTCATACCACCTGGCCTTGGAACTCGGTTCAGAGTGATAATGCCCTGCTCTTTCCCCTCTTCCATTGATGGGACAATGAGTGCCCTAAAGCATTCTTTTGTCTATGTCTCCCAATGGTCTCCACTTTTCAATTTTTATTTATTTTATATCTTAATGGTTTCTAAGTGCTCTTTTGGGGCATGTTTTATAAAGTACATAATGTGCTTAGAGAGTACTTTATGGTATTATTTCTAAATAAATATAATTATTGGGTGATAGGCCTATAATTTGTCTACTAATTAGGTGTAACCTCAGAAGCATTTAAAGCACTCTAAATTATACTCTGCAAATGTCAGGCTAATTTCTCCTTCAAGTTGAGGAGATTCGTGTCATACGTATGAGTCACTCCCAAATAGGGAGGATCACGTTCTCTGTCTGCTGTGTTACGGCAATGAGATACGTCACAAGTGCCATGATGGGGCATGCTCAGCAATGTCAGTGCTGGACTGTGCTCAACAGAGCAACTTTCCAAGTGCTGCAGTTGAGGGCACTGCTTAACAGAGGCCCTGTGACTGTCAAGAGGTCACAATGTAGATGCCAGGGTTGGAATCTGTGGCTGAGCCTCACCAGGTCAGTAATATAGTTGTGTCCTCCTGTAAACAAGTTACAGACATTTCTTTTCTTTGTGATTTTCTACCTCGCAAATGGAATTAAAAAAAAAAAGATCTTTGTCTTGTTTTAACCTCTTAGGACATACTGTTTTGAATTCTCCCTCTAGGTGTTAAAAAACCCCAGCTAAACCACTAACAAGCAGGCATGGCTAGTTCAGGTTGGGAGACCCTCCTGGCTTAAAGCCTCCTGGACTGACCCAGGGACAGCAGGCTGGTCTATTCCTACTGGCTTGCATGGGGTCTTTTATGGCCTGGATGTCTGTGTTGCCCCAAATCCGTATGTTGAAGCCCAAGCTCCCAGCGTGGTTGTATTTGCAGATGGAGCCTTTAAGGAAGTAATTAAGAATAAAGAGATCCAAAAGATGAGATCCTGATCCACCAGGATTAGTATTCTTTTAAGAAGAGACACCAAATGGTTCTCTCTCCATTTCTACCCAAATCCTCCAAGAGAAAAGGCCATGTGAGGACACAGAGAGAAGGTGCCCTCTGCAAGCCAGAAAAATGCTCTCACTGGGAAGAAATTGGCCAAAACCTTGATCCAGGACTGTTGGCTTCCAGAACTGTGAGAACATAAGTTTCAGTTGTATAAGCCCCAGTCTATGGTACTCTGTTAATGCAGGGTGAACAGACTAATGTGCCATGAAAAGACAGAAAGGAATGGACATAATTAGAAGAAAAGACAGTCATTCAGGAAAAACAGGTCAAAGAAAGTTGAATTAATGAAGGTCCTCCCCCTATCCCTATGTCTACAACCTTGGGCTAGGAAAGACACAGCCCCCAGTGACATTTATAAATATGCAAATTGGCATTCTTGTTCCATACCTCCACAGCGGGCCTTACCCAGGGAACTTATTAAAGCTCAACATCCAGGAAGTCCAGCATTGGCAAATGAATAAACAAAATCCTGCAGACCTTGAGATTTCTCAGAAGGAGATTATTTGCACTCTCCAGGAGGTTTATAAAAGCAGCTCCTCTTCCAGGTCTCAAAGATTCTCAAAGAGGGAGGCAAATCTTAAGTGGGGCCCATAGCCTCAAGTTGTTTATTTTGGAGTACAGAAATGTATTTTTTTAATTCTTAATTTTTTGTGTGTGTCTAGTTCTGGCCAAGATGGAGGTGTAGGTAGAAACCCTTTGCTTCCTTGCACAACCAAAAGGAGGATAACAACCAACCTAAAAACAATAAACAACCAGAAGTGCCAGAAAAATCAAACTGCATGGAACTCTGACAACCAAGGAATTAAAGAAAAAATCAACCAGAACAACTAGACCAGTAAGGCGGTGGACCACATAGGCTGGGCTGGCTCAGAAAAACTGAGGCAAGGCAGTGGACTGGTGGGGCTGGCTGAAGGTGAAATTGAGACTCAGAGCTGACTGTGGACTATGGCGGGGGTTGCCACGATGGGAGAAACTCCCAGTTCACATGGGAGTCCATTGGAAAGTGGGGCTTGTGCCCAGCAAGCAAGCTGCATTGTTCCCTCTCTGACACCTCACCCAAAGACAGTACCACAACACATCAAAGAGGGCTGGCCCCACCCCCCCTTGAATGCCTAAGGCCCTGCCCCCTTACAACTTAACAGGTGCACCAACACAAAGAAATATGGCCCAAAGAAAGAATAGCAAAACTCCAGAGGGAGAGAGAGAGTGAGCTAAGCGATGAGGAGATAGCCAACCTATCTGATGTGGAATTCAAAACATTAGTAATCAAGATGCTCACAGAACTGATTGAGCTTGGTTGAAAAATGAAAGAGCAAATGAAGACTACCCAACGTGAAATAAAGCAAAATATTCAGGGAACCAACAGTGATAGGAAGGAAACCAGGACTCAAAGAAACAATTTGGAATAAAAGGAAGAAATAAACATCCAACGGTAACAGAATGAAGAATAATTTAAAAAAATGAGGAGAGGCTTAGGAACCTCTAGGACAACTTTAAATATTCCAATATCTGAATTATAGGGGTGCCAGAAGGAGAAGAACAACAGCAAGAAATTTAAAACTTATTTGAACAAATAATGAAGAAAAGCTTTTCCAATTTGGCAAAGGAAATAGACTTCTAGGAAGTCCAGGAAGCTCAGAGAGTCCCAAAGAAGTTGGACCCAAAAAAGAACACACCAAGGCACATCATCATTAAGGTACTTGAGATTAAAGATAAGGAGAAAATCTTAAAAGTAGCAAGAGAAAAGGAGACAGTTACTTACAAAGGAATTCCCACAAGACTATATCAGCTGATTCCTTAAAAGAAACCTTACAGGCAAGAAGGGGCTGAAAAGAAGTATCCAAAGTCATGAAAGGCAAGGACCTACATCTAAGATTACTCTATCCAGCAAAGCTATAACTTAGAATGGAAGGGCAGGTAAAGTGCTCCTCAGATAAGGTCAAGTTAAAGGAGTTCATCACCACCAAGCCCTTATGGTATGAAATGGCAAAGGGACTTAAGAAGATCAAAAATATGAACAGTAAAATGACAACAAACTCACAACTATCAACAAATGAACCTAAAATACCAAAAAAAAAAAAAAAAGAGAAACAGCAAAAACAAAAACTAAGCAAACAACTAGACCAGGAACAGAATCATAGAAATGGACATCACTTGGAGGATTTTTGGGGTGGGTAGGAGAAGAATGAAGGGGGGTAAAGTACAGGGAATAAAAAGCATAATTGGTAGGCGTAAAATAGTTCAGGAGAGGTCAAAAATGGCATAGGAAACAGAGGACTCAAAGAACTTATATGTACAACCCATGTACATGAACTAAGTGGGGAATGCTGGAGTGTTGTTGGGGGGTACAGGGCAGAAGGGGGATAAAGGGGGAAAATTGGGAAAACTGTGATAGTATAATCAATAAAGTATACTTAATTTTTTTGTGTCTTCCATGCACTTTATTTTTTCTATTGTATTTTTTCCATTACCACTTGGTCCCCTCATACCCCTTAATCCCCTCACAATGACCACACTGTTGTCCATGTTCATGAATCCTTTTTTCTTTTTGCTCAATCCCTCTACTCTCTAACCTCCCCCACACTTAGCTGTCATCCTGTTCTCTGTGTATGAGTCTGTCTCTATTTTGCTTGTTATTTCAGTTTGTTCATTAGATTCCACATATGAGTGAAATTGTGTGGTATTTGTCTTTGACTGGCTTATTTCACCTACCATAATGTTTTCCAGGTTCATCCCTACAGGAATGTATTCTTAAGAAACATTTTACAAAATGCCAACTACTCTACTGTTCAACCTGAACATGGTTGAGGCTTTCATTAACACTAATTCACTATAATTTAGTATGTTGAGAGTCATTGTCTGAAAACTCTGTTACATTCATTCAGAAGGTAGAAATTCATATGTTCTTACATTCAACTTGGCTCCTGTCTTCCAGGGGTGGGATAGCACTCCTGCAGAAATAGGGACAGTGGCTGGAGTCCTCAGTGGATGCATGACAGTCCTGTGCCTGTGTGCTGTGCACTTGTGAGATCCAGCCTCATAGAAAGAGGCAGACAGCAAACACTCACCTTTTTTTTTTGTTGTTAAGCATCAATAGAGAGTATAGCGGATGAAGAACATTTTTGGTGGTAAGCTAATTTAGTCTAATCTAGACTAAAACAGATGTCCTGCAAAATAGTGCCCTCTGCCTTCATTTTTATTTTCAAATAGGAATGGCAAGCTTGATTGCTAACACAGTCTAGCATAGGCTGAACCAGACCACACAACCAAGTAATTGAGAAATAATTTATTCTCTGGTGAAAGAATAAATTGGAAGCTCATATAGGATTTAGTGAGAGACCCAATAAACCCAACCACTCTGTATATATTCTGTCAAAGCTCTAGTCTAGGGTGTCCCTGAACCAACACAGTGAAATTAGGGGCTCTGAAAAAAACCTAGGGCATTGAGATGAGGATAGAGAGATACACAGTGTTCACAATAGGGTTTTAAAATTTCACTGTTGTAAAACAAAGAAGGTACCTAGATAGTATCCTATTGTGTAACATTGAGGAACTTTGGAGAACATACTATTCAGAGTGATTTTTCTATACTTCCATAGGAAATGGTTTAATTAATAAAATATAGGGGGAAATTCCATCTGAAAAGAAGTCTGAACAGGATTATTCCATCTATAGGCTATGCTTGTTTTTACACAAGTCCAGCTCTCAAGTTAAAGACAAAAATAGCAGGTCCCTGTCATTCTGTAATTGCAGCTGCCTTTCTAGTTTAGAAGGATTGTTGCAAATGTGACCTTGAGAACCACTCTAGATCACTGTTCTAGCTTGAAACAACATTAATACCTAATTAGTAAGTTGTTCTCTCCCCTGTCTACTCAATGTGAGTAGACAGGGGAGAGCAGTTAATGTCATTGACTGCTTTCTTGGTCTTTCAGAGCAACCAGCAGTGGTCACTATTCCATGAAGCAGGTAACTTTCATGATTACTCCAGATCCACAATATTGTTAAAAAATCAAATTCTAGAAGTCTTTTCTAGAAACTACAAGTTCCCCAACTGCTGCCAGCAGGATGCTTTTTATTATTGGCTAGTTCTCTAGGGATTTAATAAATATTCCTTGGTGTAGAGCAGCAGAATTGATTGAGCCACTTTCATTATTATCAGCTCTGGAGGAGGTCTTAGTATTTGCTGGAAACCTCTGGGAGTTTCCAGGGGTTGAAAATAAGAAGATTTTGTGAGGTCCTTGGAGAGAGATGTGTGAGGGAGAAAATAACATGAATATCCATTATCATATGAAACTTTCAGGATCTTACCAGGAGTTATAAATGCCCTGAACATCAATAGTGTCAGGGGTCTATGGATATTCTGTGATAAAGTATAAAGGAAAATCTACAGGGAACCAATAGTGGAGGGGATGAAGCCAGAGTTCAAATCAATGATTTGAAACATAAGAAAGAAATAAGTGTTCAACCAGAACAGCAAGAAGAAAAGAGAATTAAAAATAATGAGGATAGTATACCAATCCTCTGGGACATCTTCAAACATACCAACATCTGAATAACAGGGATCCCAGAAGGTGAAGAGGAAGAACAAGAAATTGAAAATTTATTTGAGAAAATAATGAAAGAAAACTTCCTGAATTTGATGAAAGAAATTGACATACAAGTCCAGGAAGCACAGAGAGTCCTAAACAATTTAGACCCAAAGAGGACCATACCAAGACACATCATAATTAAAATGCCTAAGGTTAAAGCCAAAGAGAGAATCTTAAAAGCAGCAAGAGAAAAGCAGAGATTTATCAACAAAAGAGTTCCCATTAAGACTGTCAGCTGATTTCTCAAAAGAAATCTTGCAGACAAGAAGGGACTGACAAGAAGTATTCAAAGTGATAAAAGGCAAGGATCTCCAACCTATATTACTCTATCCGGCAAAGCTGTCATTTAGAATGGGAGGGCAGATAAAAGACCCAATATATTTTTAAATGAATGGTTAGGAATCAGGTTAATTCATAGTAATTTATCAGATAGCAATCATTTAATATGTCAAATCAATTCTTATGCACTACTTAAACCTGATGGCATAATTTAGCACTCACTTATTTTCAAATTACCCATCTATATGGGTATATTATTCAGGCTTTGGGGGAAAGAAGAGATCTCAATTTATTTACTTTTTTGAACCTTCAAGATAACATGCCCACAAACAATAATTTTAAAGTCACAAATATTATAAAGTTACTCATAATGATAAATGCAATTTATGTACAGGGTCTTTTTCTTTTATGTTCAGGTTCTGAGTTCAGAGACTGATTTTATAAAGCCTTTTGGAAACATACAAATATACTGCCAACACAATAAGTTTTGATGTATTTCTAACACATTGCTTATCAGCAGTGAAACATTCATCTGCTTTTCTTAAATTCCAGTTAAAACACCTTTCACAGAGTAGCTGGGCCTATCTGAACCATGAGATACATTGCTGAGGAGTTTACAAATACGATGTAAGACACATCGTATCTTACAATGTGTACTAGAAGTACTAGGGTACTTCTAGTGTTGTGATGTTTGTCTTTTTCTTGCATGAGTCTACAATTTGTTTCCTTACTTTATATTTGGTTTTGACCAGATCTCCATGTTTTTGTACTTGTACTTACTGGAATGCCTGTGAAGGTAACTGGAGGAGACTGCCAAGAGATGCTGAAGCTGCTGCCATTGGGGGCAAACTTGGCCGATCCTGGAATGGTCACAGGGGGTGTGGCCTGTTACATAGGAAACAGAGAAAATTGTTATGACAGAACATTTTTCCCCAGAGCCTTAGCTGTCATTAACAAGGTAGGGCCTCAGAAATGATCTCAGCTGTATTAATTATCTTATAGGAAGAGACTAAACATGGTCAAAGAGAATAGCTAGAAATAAACTTTTTATATATATAAGCAAACTATCTAAGGTATGAAATTAGATGGTTTTTGATTATTCATCTCTATATTTTAGGACATCTGTGAGATATAATTCCTTGCTATAAAATTTGGCAATAAACTTTTATACAGTGATGGTGGGTGGGTGTGTAAATTGGTATGACATCTGGTAGGGTGATCTAAGAATATATAAAAATTCTTAGTATTCTAGATATTAGGCATTTCACTTCTACAATTCATTCTAAAGAAATTATATATAAAAAACTGTAAAGACAAATGTCTAACAATAGGGAAATGTGTAAATAAATCATGATATACCCCCAGAGCCATTACAAATGGCATTGTTGAAGAATACTCATCGGCATACAAAAACATTCATGATATATTGACTGGGAAAACAAAACATAGTATAAATAGTACTACAATAGATTCCTTAATTGTTCTAAATTGATTTTTAGAGAGGGAGAGAAATACCAATTTGTTGGTTCCACTTATTTATGCATCATTGATTGATTCTTATATGTGCCCTGACTGGGGATTGAATCCACAACCTTGGTTTATTGGGACAATGCTCTAACCAACTGAGCTACTTGGCCAGGATGATTCCTTAATTTTCTACATATACATATGGGAGAAAGCCTTGAAAGATACAAAAAGTACTAACCAAGGGGCTTCCTTGTTGTTGGGATAAGGGATAAATTTTCTTTCTCTGTTTCTGTTTTTAGTATTTTTAATTTTTTTGTTTATTCTATTACAGTTGTTCCAATTTTTTCCCTTTTGCCCTCCTCTGTCCTGCCCATGCCCCCACTCCCACAGTCCATCCCCACACCATTGTCCATGTCCATGGGTCATTCATACATGTTCTTTGATTAATCCCCCTTCTTTCCACTATTCCCCTCCTCCTCCCCTCTGGCCACTGTCATTCTGTTCCACATTTCCTTGTCTCCATTTTTAGTGTTTTCTATGCTGAACATTTATAATACCTATAAACAAAGAAATCCCAATATTATGAACACAGGGTTTAGGATGCACCTTCTGGATCACTGAGTGTATGTTCCAAACCATTTTATAGATGAAGAAAATAATTTTATTAAGTTTGTTCAAGCTCATTATTTTGGACCTAAGTGCAACATTGACAAACAAGAACAAAGAAATAAATAATTCCTTTGACCAACATAACAAGAGTCAGCAGTAATATTTATTGTACCATCTAATTGAATAATTAGCTCCATTCCATTGTTCTTGAGTTTAAGTCTACTAAATAAGTGGCCAAATTCTTCCTCTACAGATTAAGTTTTTCTAATGATAACTACAGTTGCTGATGACAGTGGTTATGTCTCTGGTACCATTTGAACAATATTTTGGCGATACTTAGAAGGAGCCATAACTGTTTAGGTTGTATCCTCTGACTCAGTAACTACCCTCCTGTGAATTCAAAGAAAAGAAAAAGCTACTGGCACAGACATATTCATAGTGAAGTTATTAATGATAGTGAAAAAACTGGACAGACTAAAAGGTAAGATACCTGACAATAGGAGAATAATGGAAAAATTTGATTTAACTTTTTGATGAAAACAATTCAATTTAACTTTTCCTACTTGGCTTTAAAAGGAAAAAAAGGAAAGAAGTGAATTCAGCTACAGAGTTATATACAGTGTGTAATGTCTTTCCACTCATAGGTCAGAATGTGACTGCTTTTGGTCAGGGATAAATTGTCACTCAGGGTCCCTTGCATGTCACCTTGTAAGCATGGTTGGTGTGTATGAAGCACAGGTATGGGAGAACACAACTACAAATATAGGGTAGGGCAAAAATACATTTATAGTTGTGAGTACACAAAACACAGGTTTTTTCATTATTTATTAATTATTGCATTATTTTCTATATGAACAACCACAAATCTTTTGCCCCACTTTGTATATAAAGGAGATTTCTTTTTTTTTTTTTAATTTTCTAAAAGCTTTTATGTATTTGTTTTTAGAGAGAGGGGAGGAGGGGGCAAAAGAGGAGGAGAAACATGGGTGTGTGAGAGAAGCATCAACTGGTTGCCTCTTGCACACCCCTAACTGGGGACCAGGCCCACAAAGCAGGCAAGTGCCTTGACCAGGAATAGACAACGACCTTTGGTTTGCAGGCCAATGCTCAATCCACTGAGCTGCACCAGCCAAGGCAGATTTCTCTTTTCAAAGTTATATAAGGTAGTTGAGAATTATAGATAAAATGTTTTCTTAAAATTTGAGTGCATTAACATTTTATTAAAACAAACCAATTAAAAAAGTAAATAACTGCTGGGGTCAAGGAACTTCAGCCATGTCCTCTGTTTGATGATTTATCTGTAAGGCCTTATCAGACTTCAGAGTAAAGCAGTCTCCTGGAGGGCCTGTCATAGCACAGGCTTTGGGCCCACCCCAGCTTCTAGTCCAGTGGGTCCGGATGCCCCAAGAATTGACGTCTCCCACGTTCCCAGGGGATGAGGACACTACTGACATGGGGAACACTGACATTCACCTGTCTAGTGTGAGAGGGTTGCTTGCCAACTCAGAAGCAGGGCATACAATCCCAGATTTGGGGTACAGAGCTATTCTGTCACTATACCAATGCTTTTCAGTGCTCACCTTTCTTGTTATTTCACTTATAGCATGTGTCAGGCATCTTTCTGAGGCCTTTATACTACTAAGGATTGTAATCCTCATAATTGCCTCTAAGGGATATCCAGTCAATTCTGGGGATTCCAAGAACCCAGAGGGTCCTCTCTGTGAGATCTTGGCTTTAAAAGGAGAAAAAGAAAAAAATGAACTCAGCTACTGGGTTACTGTGTGTGATGTTGCTTTTCTATTCCTAGGGGAGAATGGGACTGCTTTTGGTGAGGAGCCAATTGCTACTCAGGATCCCTGGCACATCACCTGGTAAGCATGGTCGGTGTGCACGAGGTAGAGGGTGGTGGGGGCTGAGCGGCTCAAGGGCGTCATCAGTTTAGTTTCAGTTTTGGCACAAGGGGTTTCTGTTCGGCTTGAATCCAGGATGGGGAAGGTGGGTGGCGAAGCCAGGGACTGGGATGGTGAAGCTGGGGCCAGGCTACCCAGTCCATCTGCCACTGAGTCTGTGTTGAGCTTGATCTCTGTGTAGTAGAAGTCCTCTTCACCATCACTATAATCGGAGTCCCCAACACGCCTAGTGCAAAGGACAGCAAAACAATCAGACTAAACCATCTTGCACATGCTGTTTCCTATATCTGGAAGGTTTTTCCTTTCTCTTGTCTACCTGAAAAACTCTTACTCTGCAACACTAAACTGTCCACTTCCAAGAAAGACCTCCTTGACCTCTTAGAGCAATCTGTGTAACCAACCAACCAATCACCTATTCAACAATTTATTGAGAATCTACTATGTGCCAACACCTTCTAGGGTCTCTTAATAGCATAGTGGACAAATTATGGATGGACTCTGTCCTGATGGAAATTAAATCTACTGGAAGAGGCAGATAAGGAACCCATAAATAAACAGGTATTTAATGTACCAGGTAGTAATAAATCCTAGAAAGAAAAATTAAGAAGCATAAGAGTGTCCTTAAGCAGGGTAAGTGATGGGGATGGGGCATGTTTTAAACTGAGTTCAGAGGTAGCTTCTCTGAGAAGGTGATTTGAGCAGAGACTCAGGTGAGGTGAGAGGGAATGCATGCCAGATTGCAGGAAGACTAATGCACAGTGAGGAGCAATGAAGGCCAGGGGTGGGGGTGGCTTGGGGTCTTCTGTGAAGGGCAGAGGCCAGTGACTGGGGTGAGGGATAGTAGAGAGTGGTAGGAGAAGAGAAGACAGAGGCAAGGTCACAGAGGGCTTTGCAGCCCACAGGAAGTGCTTCAAGTTGTGTTCTGAATGTGATGAAAGCCACTGGGGCTTTGAGGAATCTCAGTGGCTTCTTAAACAGATCCCTCAACATCAAAGACCCAGATGAGTGCCAACAGTGGCTGGTGGGTGGGGTATTGGAAGTGATGAGAGGTCAAGTTTTGGATGTATGTTGAAGGTTAGGATTAGCACTTCACTCCTGAGTGTTAGATCCTCCATGGTCCCTCTGAAGGGTATTCATTTTATTTAATTTATTTTATTAAATTACTTTATACATTTTTTAATGTTTTAACCTCTGTTGCCTCCTTTACAACATTCTCTAGGGCTATGTGTTGCTGCTCATCCTCTCGAGGCTCCACACATATCAGCATATATGGCATACAGTAGGTGCCTATTTACTGTTGAATGGATGAATGAGGCTGATGCTGTTTGGCATGGTGATGACGAGCATGAATTCTGGAGTCAGGTGTCTCAGTTTCAAATCCTGTGCTATGGAGCTGTGAGTGAGGTTCTCACTGAGCAAACGGGGTAACACAGTGCCTGCTGGTGGTGAGGGCTAAGTGAGCAATGAGACAGTGAGAAGTGTTTCTGACCGGTGAGAAGAACACTGTGCTTACGAAATCAGAATGAGGTATATGTCAGAAGGCAGGAAAGTGTCTTGTGCTTTCAAAGCTCTCCCTGAACCATGGAAGTTTTTCACAGCACATTTTAAGTAAATTAAAATAACTGTCTAAACCATAGAACACATTTATTCCAAGTGTTAATTGCTAAAGAAGTGGTGTGTGTCTAGTAACCTGGCTTTAAGGGGTGGCTGAGCAAGGGCTGTGTGTCTCCCTCCCGTGGGGTCTCCCACATTTCAAGGATAGATCACTCACTTGTAATAAACTGTTTCCCACTTATGATCCCTTTAGACAACCTAGAATAAAAACCCCCCTTTCTTAACCTTTCTCTTTGGCCAAATATGTGGCTTCTCCCAGCTCTGGTTCATGTCCGCTGAATGCTCAGGCAGAGTGTCTGGGGAAGTGTCTGTGCTGTCTCAGGTCTGGGTGGCCACGGTTTTTTGATGGCACCCCACAGAAGACCCCAGAGAATAGGATGAAGAATGCGCATCTGTCTGTTCCATTCCTGTTCCCATTTCCTTTCCAGTCAAGGGCAGGCCGAGTTGCTACTGGTTGCTGCCAAGTCCTACACACAGGCTGGGGGAGAGGGTGCGTCCACCTGGGGATAAGTCAGGATGAGCCCCAGAACACAAGAACAGAGGGATGGTTTGGAGAAAAACAGTACTTTCTAAATTGGCTGGTGTGCACTGCATGACCCAGATGAAGACATAGTTTCTTTGGGCTTTGGCATCCACAACCCACATGCATTAAATATGTCCCATTGTCTTATAGTCACAAAATTGAGCTCATGGGCTAGGGCAAAGGCAATTCTTCTCTCTTGTCTGAGAACTCCTGCGAACCCAGGCCTGTTCCTGGGATTACTGGCAGGCTGTGAACGCTAATCCCCAAAGCCATTTTAGAGCACTGAGTAAAAGGGGAACCCCTAGGAAGCAAATACAGTGACTGCACTGTGAACTTCACCCAGGGGGAGAGCACCCAGGAGCTCAAAGGAAACTATGTGGTACCACTTAGTCTACAGGCAAGAATATAGCACCAGCTTCCGCATGATGCTGAACAGGGTACAATTTTCTGGGCAGATGGACTTGAAAACAAACACCCTACCTCCTGACTGTAGCTATGGGAAATTCTCACTAGACCTCTAAATAATGCTGAGCTATTTCCATTGTGGGTCATCCTGATGATGAGGTAAAAGGGGAGACACTGCAGGATTTCTTTCCCAAAGTCTTCAGTTACAGAAATGGTGTGTCTGCCCACAGTGCTTCAGGGCAGACCTCCTGGCAAGGGGATTGGAAGCCCAGCCTTGCTGGGCCACACCCACTGGATGATCTGCCTGGTGACCTCTATGCTCTGCTCTGGGAGGGACTGACTGTGCCACAGGCATCAGCCTCACTGATTGGGGAGGACGTTCCTACTTCTCTCTAGTCATTGAAGGACCCCACCCATGCAGGTGAGCAAAATAACCTAGAACCCATTTTTTTTCTTTTTATAACACTTTTATGGATGATGCAATTCCTAAAATTATTCCTTGCTGAGCAAAGTGACTGTAGTGTCTGTTTCTTAACACTCATCTTGTTGAAAGGACTCCTCTGTGTGTACAAGCATTTGGTTGCTGTCTGCGCACTGGCCATGACTTAAAGCTTCATAAGGTCCCTTTTCAGTCCCATATCCCTAGACAAGAGAGACCCATAGCCCAAAGGACAAGGCTGGGAAACCATCACTGCAAATGGTATGGCTGCTTATCACCATGGCTCCCAAAGATTTGTCTTGTATTTCTCTAGAAAGGTTTTTATAAAACACAAGGAAAAGTGTAGAAAATGACAGAGCCAAGTCATCAGGCATCATAACAATGGCAAGAGCAGCTGTGATTGACACATGGTGCTTAAAACCTTTTTAGGCTCTGTATGCCTCTAAGGGGATAAAATGCACATTTAATTTTACAGACAATTTCAGAGGGGTCCTATCCTACCCTAGTGTTGTCTTTTTGACAAATCACTTTCACTATGTTTTATTTTTGACCTTTGTATATGACCCCCCTGTTGGGTGAATTGTATTATTAACCTCAGAGTGGTGACTCACCTAACATCTCTCAGCCAAGTACACTTTGCACCCATGATCCTCCCACTATGTGGTATAGGCCTCTTATCTGCAGTGATTAGGAAGACACAGCAAGCCCAAGCCCTTCCTGTGTTCAGAACTTTGAAGGCACAGCTTGGTGGGTCCTGCCTGTGAGCGGGCACTAGAGAAGCCCACACCAAGCGCTGAAGGGAGGGTGGCCTCACCCAAGGTGAATGGTCCGGATGTGTTTCTGGATCCCTACTGCAGTACTCAGCACCTTCCCACAGTTTTTCCAGAGGCATTTGAACATCACCTTCATGGAGTTCTAGAAATGGGAGAAGAAGTTATATTAAAATGGAAACACATGTATCAATATTGTCTTTACATTGTCCCAACACATTTTTTCCTTACTTTTATTATTTAAAGCATTTAGTGACTTCACAATATTAATGGACAAATCCTCACATTATGAGTGCTTCCTGCCCATTTTTCAAATGATGAAACTGTGCTATTCAAAACTCTCTCTACCTGCTCTGTGCCATGGAGGTTGACCTGGTGTATCAGTGGGCCCCTTGCCTGTGGGTCTCAGGTTGGGGCTGGCCCCTGAGAGACGGGAGGCTATGGATTCCCCCAGCTTCCCTTCAGCCTGGCCACAGGTAGGCAGTGGCTGCATTTCTCCTCTGAAAACTACCACTTCTGCTAGTATTTCCAGAGTTTTGGTAACTTTCTGAGTTCTGGAAACCCCTCTCTTTACTCATCTCCTGGGCCTTGGGGTGGTAATGACCTTGCCTGGTAGTTAGCTTCTGGGATACCACACCACCCTTCTGGGTTTTCCTCAACCCTGTCTGCACTTTTGTAAAGAGCCTCTTCATCAAACTCTTTTTAATTATTCCTCTGAGTACATCACCTGCTTCCTGCCAGAACCTAATGAATACAGGGAAAAGTAGGTTATAAAAGAATACGAACAACATGATTTTTGTGTGTGGGGGAGATGTATGTAATGCAAATAAGTATGTATTCTTGCGTGGTGGAAACATTGGGTAGGGGTATCTTATCTTTACATTAATTTCCACATATAAAAATTACCCTATTTTTAATTTTTTAAAAAGTTATTTCTCTAAAAATGGAAGTAACCCTGTAGTGCATGCATGATTAGATCAACTTGAATGAAACCAAGGGTCTGTACATAGGTGAAGATGTTCTGCATCAAACCAGAAGGTCCCTTAAATGGTAGTCAAGTACTTGTCAAAGTCCCCTAACTACATCCAATGAAGACAAGTCCTTGTCTACAAACAGCCAACTTGCTCTTGCTGTGGGAGGAAACAGGAGAAAACAGCTAAGTAAACAATGCTGGGCTTGCCACACAGGCCCAAGCCTGTCCCAGGCAGCCAAACCAAGTGCAGCTGCTGGCAGAGTCACAGCCGCCCAGTCTGAGTGTGACCACCTGTGATTCAACCCTGGCTTCTCCTGGCAGCTCGACCCAAGTTCAGGAGACTGAAGATCTGGAGGAGGAGGCCACTGTCACTGGGATCACATGTGCCTGATCTGATACTCACAGCCATGCCAGGGGCAGCCGAAGCTCCCTGCAGCAATGAGCAGAGACACATGCCCAACGTGTGGCTCCAGGCAAGATCTGCAGAAACACTGGCTTTAGTGCTGTGGCTCAGGACAACAAGGGACAGCTGCCTGGAGGCTCTCTACCATTGTAGAAGCTTCTGGACTGTCACTGACACCAACTGCCTTAGGGTTGGAGGCTGAGGTCCTGGTCCAGGATGCCGTCACTGTCTTTTTCATGGTAAGCCTTGGCCCTGGTATGAATTGTTTCCTCCTTAGGATTTATAAAGTGTCTTCTACCTTCCTCACAGAGCCCAGAATAATACACAGGACTGACAAGATGATTGATCACCTTTAATTCCAAGGGAGGAGACACACCTGCATTTTGAAGAATACTCATACCTATACTCACGCCTTAGGATAAGTCCAATTAAAGTTATATTCCAGAACTTACTTGACTGTCCAGTTTAGCAATAGCAGCCTGGGGTTGATACCAAGTTGACTTTCCTGAGGCAACTAAGAAGATCCTAAGGTATGTCTTACATGGAGATTAGGGTGTGTATATATGTATACATGTGTGCATATGCGTATAGGTGTCTGTTGGGGTTGGAGGCTCATATACCCAAGCCTACCAAGAGGACCAGGTCCTTGAAAGAAGGGGGCATTTGGTTATATTGCACAGGTGGGTTTGCTGCATTACACATGGCCCTCAACTGGCCTTATGGGGGAGGAACCCACACTGCTTGGCAGAAGCTTCAATAACCCTCTCAGAATCAAGAGGTCCACACAGACCCTCAGCAGTTTCCAAAAGACTGAGAAATGAACAGATGTATTTAAAAAATCATAAATGCCTAGAAGCTGACAGGGATTCCAGTCCTTTTCTTTATTGGGAAAGCAACCTTATACATGTCATCTCACCACTTTGGGGCTTTATTTCTTTATTTGTAAAACAGGAACACTGAAGAAGATGGATATTTTGGGTCTGTGAAGTGTGTGAGGTTAATGCACAGTGATGGGTGAATTCAAATGTATATGAACCATTGATGAAACATCTCCTACCTACACGCACTGTTTACAGATGTTGTTCTTTACCTCAGCATAATGACTTTGAGCTTCACCCATTGTTTCGTGAATTGGTGGTTTGTTCCTGTCCGTTGTGTGGTGACATTCCACTGAAGGAACATGCCGCATTTTGTTTATCCATTTCCTTGTTTATGGACATTTGGGTTGTTTCCAGTTCGGGGTGATGATAAATAAAACTGCTATGAACACTTGTCTACAAGTTCTTCTGTGGACACAGGTTTTTTTATTTCTTAGGTAAATATTCTAGGAGTGATTTACTTTACAAGAAACTGGCAAACTGTTTTACAAAGTGGTTGCATTATTTTGTGTTCCTACAAGCAACACATGGTAAGTTCCTGTTAACTATTCCACTATTAATTCCACTTGGAATTTTGTACACCCAAAAGTGCATGGTATGTTATTCCATTTAGTTTAAGTTCCACAACATGCACAATTCATCTATTGTCAGCTTGGGGAGGCCTGTTTACAAGGTGCAAGGAGTGTCTGACTGGAGAGGGTCGCCAATAGGCTGGCCTAGATTAGAGTGCTCATTACCCAGGTGTAGAAACTTGCCAAAACTCACTGAACTGTATACTTAAAACAGGTTCATTTTATTGCACAAAGATTATGCCTAAAGTTGATTTTAAATGACTTCTTTAAAAACAACAAAAGCTTCCCTGAATTTATACAAATCTGCAGTGACTATGTGTTTTCTCAATCAGTGGATTCTAAGAGTGCCTCTCATCTTTGGGGACTTCTGCCCATTTGTAGACATGATCAAACAATCTTGTGAGGTAGAGAAGTTGGCCCTGAACTGCATGACTTCTGAAGTCCTCCACATGCTCCAACCCCATATACTGCTGGGGTGGCAGATTATTCTACAAGGCTGTCACTAAGTTGCCTAGATCACAGTCTTTACCCTGATCCACCCGCCCTGCTCTGGCTGGCTGTGCGGTGTCATCACTGTGACATCCACTCAGTGTGACCTGAGTTGCTTTCTTAGTATTGCTCTGCCTACATCTTGCCTGATGGGCCTATTTCTGAAGCAGCAGGTTTTCCTGCACAAGGCTGTGCTCAGGGGAATGCTAGGAATGAAGCCAGCACTGAGATGAGGACATAAGGGCCACATGGGTCTGCTAGCTTTTCAGAACCATCATTCGCAATTTAGTGAGTGACTTTTCTTTCTGGGACTGAAAGACTGAGACACTGATTAGTTCATTGTTTAGTCCTGAACAATTGTTATGCTAACTTGATGCTTTTTCTTGTGACTTGAGCATCTCCTCAGTCCACAGGTAAAATGGTCCATGGTCCAGACACCTGTGAAAGAGGTGAAAATGAAGAAGCCTGGAATTCTGTGACTGCCTCTGAGTTGCTGTGCTTGTTCTGGAAGTCAGAGAGCCCTGAGCTGGGTTTCTTTGTCTGGCCTCAGTTTCTGCCACTGTCACTGCTGCCCTCATCCCTCACTGGATTGTAGGCTGGGGTCCCCATTAACCTGAAATATAGCCAAGGTGTCTGAGGGGCCCAGGGTATACTGAAATACTGAGGGGCTCAGTTTATGATGGAGGCAGGCTGGAGGATGGAGGCAAGTATTCCGTTCTCTGCACACCCATACTTCTCACATTTCCATTCAGTCTGTTGTCAATGCAAAATATGAGCAGCCAGCATTTACTGCTCACAGAACCCTCACAGCAACCCCATCTTTTTGGTGCTGCCATGACCTGTATTTTACAGATGAGGAAACAGAGGCTTAGAGAAGTCAAGTGACTTGCTTAAGGTCACATTACTTGGAGCTGGAGTGCTAATTCCCAAGCACAAACTGTTTGATTCTTTTGTGGAATGGGGAAATCTGGAATCTGAGATGGAGAAAAAGCATATTAATAGTTAGCTAATAGTTAGTTATCAGCATGTCTTGATTTTTTAGAGATCTCCTGGGATTGGTCCATAGGATTTTTCTTCCCGACTGCATGTAGGGTCACTGCATCCTCTGTGGTCATGATAGGGACTGCATCTTCCTACAGTCCCAGTGTCCTGCCCACATGACCAGGGAAGTCCTTTCAGTCTGTCTGAAACTCCAGAGGAAACATTCTGCTAGAACTTGGCTGGATGCAGTTGGTTGACTAATCTCCAGAGCTGGGAGAAATCCTTTCTTTCCCCTTTCTCACATTCCCACCTACCTTGGCTGAAGAGCATCTTGAGTGATAGGTGCCTCATGCAGAAAGCCCCTGAACACAGCCTGCAGTCCCCCTTGCTGCCATCATTTTTTCCCAAACCCTCTGCTCCCTTCTCCCCCCAGCACCAGGTAATGTTGGCTGGTGCTGCCTCTGATTATTTTCTCTCCACATGAGTCTCCTCTGCAGGCAGAGGCAAATGTGGATGCTTTGAATTAATTTGCCTCGAGTTTCCTCTTTGCAATTTCAGCTGAGCTGATCTTACCTCTACTACATTTTAAGAACTATAAGACCTTGAGCAACTCCTCTAACCTGAATGAGCCTCTTCTTCAAAATGAGGATGTGGATATGCTGAGAATTTTTGTGATGATTAAATGAAATGCTGCATTTAAATATATTTCATAAACTGTAACTGAGTATGCAAATGTAGTTATTATCAGCAAGCATTTCTTCTTCACTACCATAGTAAGCAATGATGGCTTGTCTAGGGGCATCTCACACTCTCTTTCCTTTTACGTAAGTGGAACATGGGTGAGGTATCCATGGCGGGGGCACACAGAAGAGACAAGAGCTTCTATAACCAGGAGAATCAGGATCATGGCTTTGTTAAGGGGCCCTAAAATGTCTATTAAAATGTTGTTATGTTCTAGTTGGTTTAGAAAGGGCTTATAAACCCTTTTTATTTATGGTCACTTTGAATCTTCATGGTTGTCCTAAGAGAGGGTTGATAATACCTGTATGTTTGTGCTGTAGATGAAGAAACTGATGACCAGAGAAGGAAAACAATTTTCTAAAGTGTTCAGTGTTGCAAAATTAAGTTGAGAATGGGGCTCTTTTGATTTCTTTCTTTTTTTTAAAGATTTTATTTATTTGTTTTTAGGGACAGGAGAGGGGAAGGGAAGGAAAAAGAGAGGTAGAGAAACATCAATGTGTGGTTGTCTCTCATGTGCCCTCTACTGGCCTGCAACCCAGGCATGTGCCCTGACTGGGAATTGAACCAGCAAACCTTTGGTTTGTGGGCCAGCACTCAGTCCACTGAGCCACACTGACCAGGGTCTTTTGATTTCTGATCAGGGCTCCTTCCTTTCTCACAGATTATGTTATTTCTTTATGACACAGAACAGAATTTTTGCCCATGAGCCACAGTAAGAGATCCCCTAGGCACAACACAAACAAGTGTACAAATGAAACGTTTCCTTGGGAACCCACAGGACACTGAACAGGTCGAGCTCCCTGGCCAATGGACTGGTGTGTGGAGCAATAATCTTCATGCACTGTCTCTGGGAAGGGCAGGAGCCTCCTTTATCCCCTGTTCTCCAAACAGAGAGAGGGTCCTTGTAACCTCCACAGTTACAATACTGTGTAATCTAGCAAAGATGCAGGGAGGGATGGTGTTGGATCAATGCCACCTCTTTGTTTTCCTCTTTGAAATAAATTGGGAAAATAAAAAGAGAAGGGTTGCATTGCAGTTCTCAGGATTTTGTTTCGGATTTTTGGTTGTGAATAGTCACTCATAATGAAGCCACCAACAATAACTTAAAAGACCAATATATAAAATAACAGCCTCACACTGACATAGCCATTTAAAAAATAATGTTAAAATGTTTTCTAGATGTAGCAGTAGATTGTTTTATTCTATGAAGTAGAAATGCTTTTGAAAAATTGTGAGTGGGCATGAATTTAAATATACATGAAGAGAATGAAAGAATATGAGCTTTAGGTTCAGGCAGATCTGGGTCTGAGTGGCAGGCCTGGCCCCTCTAACCTGCAGGACAGGGCAGGTTCAACATCTTATCTGCCTGATCTTCAATTACCTCATCAAGTTGGGAAAATGATACTTACCAGACAGGACAGCTTTGAGGAGTAAATAAATGTGTAATGACTGTATTAAATCAACTGATTAGAGCTCTTTTTTTAGCTTTTAGTTTAGTAAAATACAATTTTTGTTCTGTGAGTACTACATACATGTATGTGTCAGCTTTCATGCATGTTTCACATATGGTTTTCTAAAAATAAAATTTGAAACATTGTTTCAATATGCTCTTTGAAGCTGAAAAGAGAAAAGGATATTTTATTTTACAGGATAAGCTGGGGCACCTATGTCAACTCTGACACCAGGTTGCAACTTGACCCAGAGGGGTTGGTGAGGGCGGGAACATACATGCTTATAAGACAAGTGTCCACACTCAGTGGCTCTGTCTCCGATCAGGACCCTGGATTTGTTGTGGGCCTTCAAAGACCAGGAGCGGGGAGCAGAGGCTGACCTTTCTTTTCCTTGGGATGGGCTCGTCGAAGAGCAGGTTGCCGGCCTCAGCCTCGTCGATGCCATCGTCAGGCGCGGGGCTACGGAAGGGCTTGGCGCTGTCGGCGGACAGCGGTGGTGACGGGGTGGACGGGTTGGACTGGTCGCTGGGGGCACTCCAGCTCCAGTAGCCGCTGCCGCAGCTGCTGGACGGGGCGCCACCCTCCTTCCAGGATCCGCTGAGGCCCTCTGCAAGCCAGACAACCAGCGTCAGCGCGCACGCGCACCTGGAGTGCTGGGCTGGGAAGGCTTCTGGACAGACTTGGACCCTGCAAAGCCCCTGCAGCCCACCCCAAAATGTGCAACATTTTGGGCTGGGGGTGCAGTATGCATACCTCAAAAAAAGGTGTATTATGCTTTGTAAACACTGAGCTTTTTTAATCACATAACAGGTTTTTCTAACAGTGTTCTGATGTGGGTGGTTTTGTGTTTCTTAGGATGACAGTGGAGATGATATGAAAACAACAAAGAAAAGTTGTCCTCATTCACTAAGTTTGGGGAGCTCTGAGTTTATTGATGGTGTTTCTAAGAGGGAATTATTTGCAATATTATCCTCCTTTCCCCATCTCTTATTTTAACTTTTTAAAAAAGGAATTTATCATAGGTCTGTGATCTTTGGAATACGTTTATAAAAAAAGTTAGTGCAAGATTTAAGAATCTAAAAGAAATAATAATTTCCAGATAGTTACCTAAAACCATTGACCTTAATAAAGAAATAATAGTGCTTTACATTTGGTGTTTTCCAACTCAATGAAGCTCATTCACACAATCTCATTTGTTCTCACAACGTCTGTCTCTCAGAGCTTGGACTGTCATGCAGATTTTACAGACGAGGGCCTGAGGCACCAGGAACTTAAGTGATTTGCCATGGAATGAGTTTGTGAACCCGGGCCCAAACCATGGTCTACCAGTTGGTCTTCTTTGTCCTTCAGTGCATATGGGTGCTGTGTAGTAGGAATCCTCCTCTCTTTCCAACAAAGCTGAGATTGGAAATAATTACTGGAAAGATAGCTGTTGAGTTTCACCTTTCCACTTGTGGTGGAAACATGGAGTGTTCGCTAATGTGGAGAGATCTTTGCCCAGTTAGAATGCCTTTGGGGAGGTTCTTTTAATCACTGAAGATTTGTTTTACCATGTAAGACGCCTGACTTTAATTAGCTTTTGTACAAACTTGACTTTCTCTTTGGATAATTTCTCTTCCATATTTATGTGCATTTTGAATATATTAAAACTCTATTATAAGTACAATGGGGCAAAATCCCAAAATGCCTCATTAAAACAATGCTGTTAACATGTGTGTAATTAGTAATGAAGTGAGGACACATGGTGGACTAGCATTCTTGGAAAAATGTCTTGACTACCTTCATGCAATTATAGATTTACAGCATATTCTTCAACTATGTGAAGCAAAAATTCTGTTAGAGGAATGAAGTTTTAAGTTGAAATAGCAGAAGGGAGTTTTCCCATCTCATTAAAGTGAGGCTCTAACTGAATCAAATGGTCATTTCTGCAGGATCACATCTTTCTGACACTAAGAAAACCAAATTAGCATCTCATACAGATGCACTAACCAGACCCAAGTGGCCTTTTATAAATAAGAAAGCTCCATTCAATACAACACCACACAAAGAGGAGCCTAATGTAAGGCCTTAGGTACTATTACCTGGTGTGGCAAACTCTTTGGCAGGCTCAGAAGGCTTATAAATACACCACTGAATACACTTGTAAAATAAAATAACTCTGTGGTACTTGCTGTGTAATCTCATGCTAGGTATGAAGAATTGAACTTATTTGGAAAAGCAACAGTTTCTTTTGAAAAGCAATGTGGTTGCATTACTTCATGTCAATGCCCAAAGTTAATTTGCTTACTTGGGAATGACATTTCCTTTAAGAAACACTATTTAATGAGAAGGATAATGTGAGATATAAATGAATTTTTCTGGAACAAGTCAGAACCAATTTGTAACTTTTCTTTCTTAAAGAGCAGTGTCTCCTTATCTTAAAAAAAGTATTGGGCAAAAATACAGACAAGCCCTGCTGGAACTCTCACCCTCTTTGCAGACCCACTTCCTGACAAAACAATCCTTTTCTAGCACAAAAAGGATCACAACAATTTTCAAAAATTTACTGACATACAATAATTCTGGTCATAATATATATTTCTTAAAAATCCAATGCCTTCATTATCATTATTACCATTAATGGCTTTTCCTTGTTAAGAATTTGCTGCTTGTTGCAGACTTAATGAAAGATCAGACAATTTGGGAATATTAGTTGGATAGTTATTTTTAAAAACCATAATGAACACTGAATTACTTTCTTTATAACTATGCTAACAAAAGTTTGCATTGAAGAAGCAAAAGGTTTACTTTCATTCTAACCTTTCAAGGTAAAAAAATAACATTAAAAAGGTTCTCAATTAAAAAAGAATGCCACATTAAAAATAATGGTCACATTAAAATGTATTCTTTCTCCTCTGAGGGTTCTATGAAATCCTGCAATTCTTTTTTTTTTTTTTTTAAAGCAATGAAAATCTACCATGTATTTGCATTTGGTGGCCCAGCTTGGGACAAAGTAAATACTTGTTTGTAACCCCTAAGAATTTTTTTCACTATTAACTTTTTTATCTTTTATATAATTCTTTTGCTAGGATTGGTTTTGGGGATTCTTCAGTTTTGCTTTAACTGCAATCTTTCTTTGGTGGCATAGCCTCACTGAGCAGACTAAGTCAGGATGCTTATTAAAGGGGCCCTGAGAAGAAAGGCCCTGCCATTCCCCAGCATTGGTCAGGCTCACCTCACAGTCAGCTCACCCATTCTGTGTAATGAGATGGCCTCGCCCCCACTTGTGGTGGTCATGACAGGGGGTGGGTACTACTGATTTATGGTTTTGATTTGACTTCCCAACACCTTGATCATTCTTTGCATCCACAGTTGGAGTGGAATATGTTTTGGTGAGGATTCACTGGCTGTTCAACAAATTTATTTTCACACCTCACATTTACTACCAGATTATGTGTGAACCAACCATACCTTGGTCTCATAACTGACTAGGCTGGTTTTTGAGAGATGGTGTTCCAATGTTGGTAACATTCACTCTGTGGTCTCAGTGCATTACATTTCAGTCAGCTGCAATCTGATTTCTGCCTGTGGTTGGTCCACTATGAATGCTCTGGCCAGATCTCCAGGGACCTTCATCTTGATACAGAATTCAGTCTGTTTCACAGATGAGCTTCTGAAGCATCAGATGTGTCCTTGAAATACACATCTGATGCTTGCCTTCCATGAAACCACACTCTTCTAGGTCTCCTCTACCTCTGGTCATCCTCAGGTTCTTCCTGGGTTCTTTCCCCTCTGCTGATCCTTTAAGTGATGGTGGGCTGCACCCCTTCCCTCTCAGTTCCCTCCTTCTCTTTGCTCACTACCTCTCTACAATTCTCTCAGGGAGATCCCATCTACTCTCATGCCTTCAAAATGCTGCCTTTCAATTCCACCTGGATAGCTCAGATCTCCCCAGACACCATCCCTTGAGTGAGCCTCAGTCCTGCCCACTAAACATGTTTCCAACTGAACCTATTGTCTTCTTCAGTGACCTCAGCTCTTGTCCCAAACATTCACCAATAGATGTACTCCTCTGCCTTTGTTCCCATCTCAGGGAATGGGTCTCCTTGATGAAGCATATCGACTGCCTGGGAGTCACCCTGTAACTCCCTCTCCTTCATCCTCTTTGTCCATCACTGAGTCCTGTTGATTCTACCTTTCTTATATTTCTCAGTTATGTCCTATCTGTCCCCTCTATGACCATCAATGATCAGGACACCATATTTTTTTTGTTCTTTTTTGTTTTTGCCTATAAACCCAATTGTAACTTTCCAGTGGCAATCACTTAATAGCTCTGCTGCAGCCTCAGATTAATGTCTACAATTAATGGTCTCTGATGTCATCTCCCACTGCCCTCCTGATTTCTCATAGTGAATCATATGAGTCCACAATATGTCATAACCAAGATAACAGATCTGAGATCAGGAAGATATAGAAGAGAATTTCAGCTTTGCTATTTGCAAGTCAATTAATCCATGTGCCTCAGTTTACTCATCTGTAAAACAGAGATCATGATATCTCACAGAGTTCTGAGAATTACATGAGATAAAGCAAACCTAGCACTTGTCACATAGTAAATGGTCAGTAAATGCTAGCCATTGGTATGGCTATGATTGAGAGTCTTTTTCCCCTGCAAAGAGATTGGGACACTACATGGGAGTATGGACATTGTTCTCATTAATGTACTCAAACCATCTGGCATAGTACCTAATAAATATATATTGAGTGAATGAATGGACTAAATAATTGTGTTTGATTGAGGAGTCTGGGATAATGCTTTTTCAAAATATTTAATCTTCAAAGTTTTTTGATCCAACTACCTATCTGACTAAACAAAAAATGCTGGGAAAATAACTTCATTAAACCATTTACTCCATTTACTTGGGAAAAGGGACAAAGTACTGCAGGTAAGTGTTCTGGCAAGGTGGTATGTGTGGAATGGATAGAGGGATGAATGTGGTACCCTGGAGTCCCACATTTGCCCTGGCTTTCTGATCATGGCAAGGATTAACTGTTCATTTCATTCAATAGGTATGAGACCCCTATGGGACCTCTCAAAGGGAGGCGGTGCTCTTGGTGCCCAGGGGCCCTTCCCTACGCTCGTCCCCTTGCTCACCATTTGGCCGCACAGGAGGACTTCGAACCAAAGGGCTGGTGGACAGGCTGGTTAGTACCATTGCTGCTGTCACTTTGTCCATGTCCAGTTCCTCTGAGGATTTCCTGGAAAATAGGGAGGGACACTATTAACAGTGATCACTCTGCACGGACTATGGGCCACGCATGTACGACACACTACCACACACATGTACTCCCTGAATTTATCCCTTTGAAAATCCAATGTTTTGTTAGCTTTATTATACTGATAAGGAAGCTGAATTCCAGCAGTTAAGTGATCCCATCAAAACCCTATACCAGGGGTATCAAACTCATTTTCATTGGGGGCCATATCAGCCTCATGGTTGCCTTCAAAGGGCCGAAGGTAATTTTAGGACTGCATAAATATAATTACTCCTTAACAGTTAAATGGGAGCTCAGTGCTTCTGCCAGGTAGAAACAAGGTACTGGGCTGGATAAAACAAGGTGGAGGGCTGGATTCAGCCCACAGGCCTTGTGTCTGCCACCTGTGCCCTATAGTATTAGGGAGAGAAGGATTCATCCATTTGAAGAACGACCCAATCAGTGTGAGAAGGAGACATGGGGGTCCTACAGGACATGGGGGAGGTTCTGATTTTATTCTAAGTATAACCAGCCAGACAAGGAAGTCACTAGAGGGACTTAAGCAAGCCTAGTGACATTTATATTTTTAAAAATAATTACTGATCTCCTCTCTGGAGAATAGATTGTGGAAAGGGGAGCAGAAGCAGGGAGTCTAGGGAGGAGAGAATTGCTAGGACCCAAGAGAAGAGGAAATGGTGGCTGGAATGATGGTTGGGGCAGTGGAAGTCAACCTGGCAGACTAGCTGAGACACTGGCTGTGAGGTGAGTGAAAGGGATGACTCAGGGTGGCTCCCAGGTGTTTGATTTGAATGTTAACTGGATCATTCACTGAAATGGGAGAAAGGTGAGGGGAAATACTGAACCCCAGTGAGCTGCTTTGCAGCACTTTGCTGGAGGTGACAAGTCTGAGCAGCAGAGAATGTGTGGTAAAAGTGAGGACCACTCCCATCATTCACTGAGATGAAGATATTATTCTAGCTCATGTATTTTGGCCAGTTAACCCCAATAAAGGCCCATAAGATAATGATCACTGTGGACTGGAGTCAGCTTTCTAAGGCTGATTTCAATAAAGCAGTTTATATCAAGAGGCAAAAACATATGTAGTACACTGATATCAGATAAATTATACCTCCTGAGACATGAACATTTCAAATGGGGGGGCAACTGAAGCAGCACAACCGAGGATTAATAAACCACATGGCCAAATTAATCATCGTGTTGACAAATGTGGCTTTCAATCATAGGTGTGCTGCATAATTTGTAAAAGCAATGAAGTCATAGAGATAGAAACTTGATAGTACAGTAGGAAAACAGATTCCTAAATCAGAAAAAAATCAAATTGTTTCCAATTTTGGGGGTGGGCTACTCAATTAATTTCATGATGAAGTTATAAAAAAGTATTATAATTTGGCTCTCCAGAGTCCACCATGATCCTAAATTACCAAACAAATCTTACTTTTCCAATCTAAGATGAGAATCTGAAATTTCCTCTTATACACAGTTCTTTCCAAAGTGCTGTTCACTCTTTCTTGGAAAATTGTTTTATTGAAAGATAAATTCCTTTTTTCAGAGACTGGCAACTAAAGATGCTTCTAGAACACTGAGTACACAGTGGAATTTACTCTGCAGAAGTTTTTAAGTCAACCTCATACACAAGGGAAAAAAACTGCTCAGTCATTTGGTATGCCATGACAAGACTTTACAATATTCGCAAGTCATAAGATCTTTAGACTTGGTAGTAAAGGTAAGGCCATTTTCTTATAGAAACAAAGTCTCCTGAAGCAGTGTGGAAAAGAACTTAAAGCACCTTACAGTCATTGAGTGCTCAACACCCCGTATAGGCATGTCACAGGAACAGGCATCACTAGGGGCCTTGCAGGAGAGAGGCTTGCTGGGTAGACTGCTGTCCAGCTAGCTGCCTACCCAGAGCCTAGCTGTTACCATTGCTTCACACTGGTGTTGGGGCAGGAGCAGGTCACACTGTCACCCATCCCAAGACTGAATTGCAGGAGCTACTGACTGCTCTTTCCAACTCTGTCTTCTCCTTTTCTATTTTTAACAAAGGGTTTGAGCCTTGGCTGGTGTGGCTCAGTGGATTGAGTGCTGGCCTGAGAACCAAAGGGACACCAGTTTGATACTCAGTCAGGGCACATGCCTGGGTTTTGGGCCAGGTCCCTGATGAGGGACACATGAGAAGAGACCATACAGTGATGTTTCTCTCCCTCTTTCTCCCTCCCTTCTCTCTCAAAAAAATAAATAAAAAAATCCACCTTATCCACCAAAAAAACAATAAGTTTGAGAACCAGAATAAGAGGCCCAGGAACCATTGGGAAATGGCAGGAACTCCACAGAGAGTCCCCAGCACTCTTCCCTAATTTCTGCAAGGATGGGCTACATGGCTACTCCTTTTCCTTCTCTTTGGTTTCAGGGACCTTTATTTTCCCTTCCACAATCAGCTTTGTGTTTTTTTAAAATATATGTTATTGATTATGCTACAAGAGTTGTCCTATTTTTCCTGCCTTTATGCCCCTTTGCCCTGCACTCTCCCCCTACCAGTATCCCCACCCCCCACTCCCCACTTAGATCAGGTCCATGGGTCTTACCATGGGTTTGGTTTCTGCATTTCCTATACCATTCTTAACCTCCCCCTGTCTATTTTCTACCTACCATTTATGCTCCCTATTCCCTGTAACTTTTCATTCATTCTCCTCCTTTTACCACCCTGCTGAGAACTTTCCCTGTGATCTCCATTTCTGTGATTCTGTTCCTGTTCTAGTTGTTTGCTTAGTTTCTTTTTTCAGGTTTGGTTGTTGATAGTTGTGAGTTTGTTGTCATTTTACTGTTCATATTTTCATCTTCTTTTTTTTATAAGTCCCTTTAACATTTTACATAACGAGGGCTTGTTGATGATGAACTCCTTTAACTTGACATTATCTGGGAAGCACTTTGTCTGCCCTTCCATTCTAAATGAAAGCTTTGCTGGATAGAGTATTCTTGGATATAGGTCCTTGCCTTTCATGGCTTTGAGTACTTCTTTCCAGCCCCTTCTTGCCTGCAAGGTTTCTTTTGAGGAATCAGCTGATAGACTTATGGGAACTTCTTTGTGGGTAACTGTCTCCCTTCCTCTTGCTGCTTTTAAGATTCTCTCCTTATCTTTCACCTTGGGTAATGTAATTATGATGTGCCTTGGTATGTGCTTGCTTGGGTTCAACTTCTTTGGGACTCTCTGAGCTTCTTGGACTTCCTGGAAGTCTAGTTCCTTTGCCAGATTGGGGAAGTTCTCCATTCTTTATTCAAATAAGTTTTCAGTTTCTTGCTCTTTCTCTTGTGCTTCTGGCACCCCTATGACTAGGATGTTTCTGGAACATTTAAAGTTGTCCTGAAGCCTCCTAAGCCTCTCCTCAATATTTTGAATTCTTATTTCTTCATTCTGTTCTGGTTTATTTTTTGCTCCAAACCATTGGTTTGAGTTCCGGTTTCCTTCCCATCATTGTTGGCCCCCTGTACATTTTCCTTTATTTCACTTTTCATAGCCTCCAATTTTCCCTCTATTTTGTGAGCATACTTAATAAATTCTGTGAGCATGCTGGTTACCAGTGTTTTGAGCTGTGCATCTGATAGGTTGTCTGTCTTTTTGTCACTTAGTTTTATTTTTTCTGGAGCTTTGATCTGTTCTTTCATTTGGGCCATTTTTCTTTTTTTTTTTTTTTGGTCTGGGTGGGCCTGTTATGTAGTAAAGGGTGGAGCCTTAGGTGTTTACCTGGGCAGGCAACCCACTTTGCTGTGTTGTAGGGTGTATGTGGGGGTGGGGTCTAAGAGGGAACAGTATGGTTTGTTCACCTCTATCCTAGCTTTCAGTCATTTCCTCTGCCACCCACAATCAAATTGGGCCCTTCTGGTGCTGATTCCCAGGTGGGTGGGTATGTGTACATTCTAGGACCCTGTGAGTCTCTCCAATGAACTCTCCTGTGAGGCTGGGAGTTTCTCCCACTGATGCCTCAACTATCATGGGTTTTTTCAGTCAGAGGTTTTTAGACTTTATTTCCCCGCACTGGATGGAACCCTGGGTTGTGAGGTCTGTCTTGCTCCCCAGTTGTTCCTCTTGGTTTATTCACACAAAAATGTGGGACCGCTCACTCTTCCTGCTGCCACCTCACCCACTCTAGTCCTCCAAGTTGCAACCTTGCTGAGACTCCTCTGACCTAGCTCCCCATCTCTGCTTCTCCTACCAGTCTGGATAAATATTTCTTCTTTAACTCCTTGGTTGTCAGATTTCCATACAGTTTGGTGTTCTGTCAGTTCCGGCTGTTTTTGTTTTTAAATTTGTTGTTGTCCTTCTTTCGTTTGTGTGAGGAGGCACATTGTATCTACCTACACATCCATCTTGGCTAGAAGTCCAGCTTTGTATCTTTTATTATTTTTCATTTCTGAGGTTTGTTTTAGAAGTCTAGTTGATAATTAAATCAAGAGCTGATCTAAGTGATTTCTTAAAATATGAAGATTCAATAGAGAAACTATCATTATAAAATATGAATTTCTTTTGCATTGCTAAAGTTTGCCACTACCTTTCAACATAATTATCAGATAGTAGATTCCTGATGAAGAATAACATGAACTAACATTAGCGTCATCAGTGTTTTCATATTTGCATTACCTTTAGATTTCATGTTGGCAGCAGTGGTCATGACAAAAACCACCACCACCACCAACATCAAGGGCCCACATCACTCGCTACTCAGCCTGTATTTCTCAGGGAGTACTTTTGGCATGTTGCATGAAACATCACCAGATGACAGCCTTGTGCTGAGCTGTGTTTTTGGTTTTTTTTTTAATCTTTGTTTAATTTCTTTTGTTATGGTGCTATATAATTACTGATTAATTGGTTCTGCAAATTCAAATCCTTGTAATTAAACATGAAGAGATGATATACAAAGTAGAATTTGTTACACTTTGAGAAAGCTATTGCAGAGGCCTTCTGGTAGATTTAGGGTTGGTGAGAAAAA